GTGCGTGCTGCAAAGGTGAGCAAGGAGTTTGTTGATGCAGTAAATTTGCATAGATGTGAAACATGTGAGAAAACATCAGCAAAGAAACCCACTCACAAAGTCACGCTTCCAAGTGATTATACATTCAACCATACTTTGGGGATTGATGTACTGGAGTTGACAGATGTAACTGGGCAGAAGTATCAAGTTCTCAACATGGTTTGCATTGGTACTTGTTTTCAACAGGCCGAGGTCGTGAAGGTCGGAGCAGGTCAAGCTTCTTCGCGATCCTGTTTGGGCGCACTTATCAAACGTTGGCTCAGTTGAGCAGGACATCCTGTTGCTATCATGTGTGACCGTGGCTTGCACAATCGTGGTGTCTTGCAACAATACATGGATGAACACAACATTCAAGTGCACCATGTGCCCCTTGAGAGCCCGGAATCATTGGGCCGAGTAGAGAGGCATGGTGGTTTGTTGAAAGCTCTTTTCAGGCGTGTGTGTACAGAAGTTGGGGCTTGTACCAAAGAACAGGTTGACAGTGTGAAGAACGACTCTGCGCGTGTTGGAGGTTTTTCTCCATCTCAGTGGGTGCTTGGTCGAGCTCCCCGTGGTGTAGCTTCACTCATGTCTGAGGAAGACCATGCGCAGCTCGGAGCCATTCAGGCCCGACATGATCCTTCATCAATTTTTGCATTACAACATTTGGCCAGGATTGAGGCACAAAAGGCTTTTGTTCATCTTGATTGTTCAAGAAGAGTTCAACGAGCGTTGACACGCAATGCCAGTGTGTTTGATCGTGAGTTCAACATTGGTGATCTCGTCACTTTCAGACGAGACAATCAGCGAGGAGGAACGTCCTGGTCACCAACATGCCGTGTGATCGGACACGAGAACCAGAAGAACATATGGTTACTATGTGGTAACGTTCCGGTACTTGTAGCTTCTCACAACATACGCATTGCTTCTCCTTCTGAAGCTCTTGCTCAATCAGTGTTGAATGGTGAACCTGTGATTCCATACAAGATCATCAATGATACAGGTCAACAAGCATTTCTTGATGCAAGACAATCCGATGAGGTTGAAGTTGTTCGTGATGGTCCAGGACAATCAGACGATGTTGAAGTTGTCCATGAGGACAATGTGGATTCAGCACTCCCTCCTATACCAGAAGTATCTGAAGATGAATGGGACATACGACCCGGTTTCTTTGAAGAAGGTGAAGAGGAGGAAGACGCTGGTCCTATGGAAGAAGACATCTTTTCACAGAGTAGAACCCCAGAAAGAAGAGTTGAAAGACCACATCCTGGAGGGGAAGGTCATGAACGGAATGTGAGACCTCGAGTAGAGTCTCGCTTACAACCATTTGTGCCATCTCGAAGAGACTCCTTTGTGCCTGATCTTACTCCAAGTGGCTCCGTTTCGGGACCACTATCCTCGCCGTCAGCATCATCTTGGCCATTGCGAAGGGAACTTTTGAATGACTTACCACATCAATTGCGAACACATCTTGAAAGAGCTCGTGAGAGAGACTCAGAACGAAGTCCTGAAGAGCAACAAGAAGCACGAGCATTGTTTGCATCATTTTTGTCCCAGGAAGTTGAAGTCCCTGAGGACGAAGAGCAAGGTAAGAAAGTGTTGAAATCAATCCATTATGAAACAGCGTCACCTGATGTACAGAAGAACATCATGGATGCCAGAACCAAGGAGTGGAACAAGTTCCTTGAGTTCGCTGCTGTTGTAGAAATTTCAAAAGAAGATGCTGAGAGGTTGATTGCTGAAGGACATCAATGTATTCCTAGCAAGTGGGTTGATGTTGATAAGAACCAATTATGAAGGGAAGAACAGACCAAGAATATGTGCCAAAGTTCAAAAGCCGGTTGGTGTCATGCGGCAATTTCGAAGTCAGTGAAGGTCTGAGATCAGACAGTCCTACAGCAGACACAGAAGCTCACAACATTCTTTGCTGTTGGGCGGCGATCCAGGGTGCACACTTGCACAGTGCGGACGTCGCATCCGCATATTTTCAAGGTCGTCCTCTTGACAGAGTCCTCATTATGAGACAACCCCGAGGAGGTCTCCCGGGAGTTGATCCAGAGGTGTTTTTCCTTGTGAGAGTGCCTGTGTATGGATTAACTGACAGCGGTCGAGGTTTTTGGTTGAGACTGGACGGAGATGCCCGATCCAGTGGCTTGAAACAATCCAAGTTTTACCCAGGATTATATTTTCTTCCGGGAACAGACAAAGATTGCGTTGCACTTATGGCGACTCATGTGGATGACATCTTGTACGCATACATTCCTGAGGGAAAGTCAGTGATCGACAGCTTCTTGGAGAAGTTCAACTTGGGATCTAGTGAATCAAATTCGTTTCGCTTTTGTGGCAAGCAATTTGAGCGTACTGCAGATGGAACAATCACTCAAGACACTTGCGACAACACCCGTCGCATCAAGCCGATCAAGATCGCGCCAGGAAGATCAGCGTCCGAGCCGTTGGGTAAGGATGATGTGACCCGATTACGATCTGTAACGGGATCATTGGCATGGGTGGCAAGACAGACTAGACCCGATTTGGGTTATCGTGTGAGCCGCCTACAGTCCAGTATTTCTGGAGCGACAGTTGCTATTTTGCACGACGCAAATGCCGTAGTACAGCTGGCACAACAAGGCATTGAGAACAAGCTCATTTTTCCAGGTGGACATCTAACCTGGGGAGAGGTTGGTATCATTACAGTAACAGATGCTTCATTTTCAAACGAGAAGAACTACAAATCACAACAAGGACGTTTCCATTTTCTTGGAGACATCAATGAGATCAAAGACCCCAAGACTACATCCTACAGGGTGATGCCATTGGGATTTGCATCAAATACAATTCGGCGAGCAAATGCCGTAGTATGCCGCAGCACTCTTCAATGCGAAGCTTATTCACTGCAGGCTGGACAAGAGAGCGGTGACAAGCTACGTGGAGCATTGGCCGAGCTGATGGGCCAACTTGACTCGATGAAAACATGGTTGGATGACAGCCGCAGCTGCATTCCACAACTGATGCTTTCAGACTGCAGGTCTTTAACAGACCATCTTGCGAATGAGGTACTTGGCAGGGTCGCAGACGAACGACTCGGCATTGAGTTGCAGTCGATTCATGAGTCACTTTGGCAAGACGGCCGGAGGACCTGGGATATGCATTATGGCGGAGGAGACATCGTTACCTGGATTGCTACAGGGACTATGGTCTCGGATGCTCTGACCAAGAGCATGCGCCCGGACCTCATTATCCGCGTCTTGAAGGAGTGCATTTATCGTGTACAGAAGAAGCCTTAGAGCCAACTTTTTCACTAGCATCATGTGATCCTTGAAGAACAGGTTGAGTGTGAGTTTGACCTGTCTAATGTATATTTTGTATAGCCAAGTGATCACATGCCCCCGTTGACATTTGGCTTTAGGGCCCTTGAGTCATACCGCGCTGCCGTGGTAAAAGTTGGGCACTAACGATCCCGTTTCCAATTCAGACTTATATCAACTTCACCGCGACCTCACTGCAAGTAATGGTGAGTATAGGGAACCATGCCGAAATTTCGTGAATGGTCTGCGGTTGGAGTAGCTTGGAAGTGCTCATTTTTTTATCACAGGTTTATCTGTATACCCTGGGATAAACTAGCATTAGATGGGGAAAACCCACGTTTTCGCATGAACATGATCTACAAATAGTATAGGTGTTCCACATCTATGTGATTTTACAGGAGGGTATATCACCATTCATCACCATTGATCATTGTTAACCATCATGTATCAGTAAAAACCATTACTACAGTAGATGGACAAAATATTCAAACCCTGCAGCACGCACTATGTTGAACCCCCGCACACCCCAAATCTCAATGTTTCAGCGCGCGTGTTAGCAAGAGTGATGTTAGGGGTTTGATTTTTTTCGTCCATTGGGGCTAATGCACTTCAGGCTACATTAACATTGAACTTTGGGGGCGAGGGGGTTGTACTGGATAGGAGGGGTTTGAATATTTCGTCCATCTACGGTAGGTATATCTATACCACTAGTGCCGCACAATGCGGTGGCGGAAGTTTCAAAAATAGGAAACCTATAGGAGAGGTTCGTTGTTGTGAATCACGGATGGCAGAGCGAATCCGCTGATGGACCGAAAGGTGGTTGGTTGCACTGGTTGCAGCGGTCACCTCACCACATAGCGTGAAATCTCCGCCCTGACCTCCTAACATCTCTGGTGAACATGTCTCTTGTATTGCGCCTGCCATGCAAAATGCATCTTTGCAGATCCTCTTCAAATGTCCCAGGCCTGCCAACGTTTTTGAAACTGTTACAAAACCCTCACATTTTGCTCACTTTTGGCAAGGTGCCGAATCCCTTGCGCATGCCATGCAAAACCACATCCTAACTTCCAAAAATGGTCCGACACTGTCAGGTTTTCACACTTTTCACTTCCAAATGTGCTTCGCGCCACAACGGCATGCAATTTTTCATCTCTCATTTGGCCAGCTGGCTCCGCACCCGCCGCTTTAGCGAGCCTCCTTTTCGACCCTTCGGAGCGGCAGATCATTGGAAAAAAACAGCGTTTCGCGACTTTTCTACCTTTTCGCGCATCTGCATCTTCTTTCTTCTGACTCTTTCTCTTCTTTGATCTTTTCTCTTCTTCTCTTCTTTTCTCTGACTCTTCCCACCTCTGCTATCCTCTGCTTTTCCATCTGTCCATATTGTCGGAAGTTTGACTTTAAACCAATTTCATAATCTTTTTGGGCATGACCAAAATTTAGACCATGATGTAGTATAGGTTAACAACAATGGTGACGACTGGGGAATCCCCCATGAAATAAGAAACACCAATATTTATATATATATATATATATATCATGAACGTTGACTATCATCAACATAAACTATCATTAATCATGAACTGTCATGAGCTGTCATTAACTATCATGCTATCATTAATGTTAACTATCCCCAATTTATTGTTGCAACCCAACCTGGCCCCAAGATCCACATCCAAGGTGAACCCGTTCCGTTCCCTGCCGCTCTATGGTGACGACGTCTTGCGCCGCTTTGCGAAGCCGACAACAGGGGCAGCGCAGCCGCTGAGTGGCTCGGTGGGGAATTTATCGTGGGGTTCACAGCCAAAATGATGTATTTTTGAGCTGAACCTTTTGTGAGAAAAATGTTTCAATTCATAAACTACTTCAAATACCAGTTTAATGTTCATTTATGATATTTTTTTTGTATTTCAAGAATTGTTAAAATGTTTTTCAAAGCAAAAAAACGTCTCCCGAAAACCATGAAGGTGGAATGGAACATGAAACCAACATAAACCTGGTTTGGGAATATGATATTTTGTGATATTTCGCTATCTGCCATGCGGTGCACCATATATATATATATATATATTTTGCCCTAAGTTGATTATCTAAGTAGAACTGTTGATGGTTGGTGTTTTTGTTTAACCAACCTATGGAAGGCCACAGTGGATAGATAGATAGTATAGATATATAGATGGACGGATTGATTTTTGAGATGCACATGTCAATGCAATGCCAATATCGTATGTCAATATTTGTAGATACATATGTCGTTTCATGTATATATATATATAGTTTTGAATCTATAATAATTAATCATATTTCCATGCATTTGTAAAACATCCAACATCCAAGGAAATAATTTACTATGTTTCTGAAAGCCCTGCTACAAACTAGAGAACTAAAACAACTATAGAACTTAGGATTCTTTTGGCAGTGTTTTGGGGTTTCATGATGAAACCATGAGACGTTTAGTCAGTTTAGTCCAAATGTGGGGGGAACAAAAACACAACCATGAACATTCAGATAACATACGCTATCCCTTCACTATCATTGATTCATGGTTTAAACTATATGGCAATTTTCCAACAAATGGGATGATGATCAACGCGCAACCAGATCTTGATGATCATGAGGAGGAGGAGGAGGAGGAGGGCATGTGACACTCAATGCATCGAATGTAAAGAACATGTACGGGACAACCCCCATGTTTCATCATGTGTCAAAATGTTTCATCATGTTTTATCATTTATCATGGGGAAAAACATGGTTTCCTGTACCGTCTGGTAATTTAACCACCTATCAGCTGGTGCAGGATTTCGCAACCCTCTATGGAAAATCACCATCTTTCATATAGGTCGATCAACTATTTCTATGAGCCATTTTCAATAGCCACGTTAAAAAATACCAGAGGGTATATCCCATTAATATCCCATTGAATCACTATAAAGTCCCATTATTTTTTTGTAAATCCCATTGAACCCCATTAAGTCCTGAAGAATTGGGAGAACCATGAAAAAAACCCACATGAACTAGTTCGTTATATCTACCATACACCATAGTTCATTCAGCCACTTTTTTTCGGCAACTGATCGCCTTCGCTCGACTGGGGGCCCCATCGACTGTAGATCTCCCTTTTTTCCCAATTTTCAACGCTGAGAACCCCACGTCTTCGGGATCGCGGCCAAAGCTCTGGAGGGGACGCTGGGCCGGCGATAAACCTTCGGCCTTGATTTAACAACCACGTAAGAATAACCAATAGATTAATAACGTTTAATAACCATCAATCATCACCATTAGTAACCACTAGTAACCATTAATAATCATTAATTGTTTCATCAATTGGTAATAACCACTATAGTAACCATTGATAACCATCAATGATATGCTGGTGATTTCAAACATGGCTGGATTATTTTCCATTTCATATATGGGATAATGAATCCTTCCCATTGACGAACTCCATCATTTTTCAAGATGGTTAAGTCACCACCAACCATTTAAATTTAACTCGTGAAAATGGTGATTTCCTGGAATATAGTATTGATTTCATGGGATACAGATAGATTAAATATCCATTAATGGGATTAAATATACTATAGATTTTAATGGGATGTAGGACTGATTTAATGGGATAGACGGGTGTGTCTGAAAATTGGATATATACCCCAAAATAATCCTGTGAAATGGGAAAATGATCATAATCCACTGGATTTTGAGGTACTGGTGGTACCTTATTTCAGACAAAACCACTTAGTGAACCTCAGTTTGGTTGGAATTGTTTTTTCTCCAGAGGTTAGGAATTTGGTATTTGTGCAGGTAAATATGATTTACACTTGCCATCGTTGTCCATATATATATATATTATTTTGGACCTTCTTGGTAAACCATCGTGCCAATTGGACATCACACATTTACATTTACTTCTGAACATTGGAATTTCCTCGTGTCAGGTTAAAGACCAGAGGGTACCAGAAATAAATTGTTGAGTCATTTTGGGTACAGATGAACACCTGGATATTGTATTTCAATTGGGGTTCATAGCATTTGAACCTTTCAATATGTTGGTTCATACATTCAGGAGATCCTTACAACATGGCAGTAGAGAACGATGATCCCAAGGGACTTCCGCAAGATCACCCGGGCTTTGTAAATTCGAAGGTCCCTTTTAAATAAATAAATAAAACAGGTGAACACACCTGGGATATGTGCCCGAAAAAATTGATTGCATTTCACATCAATTCACAGTTCCATTAAAAAAAATCTGTTTACAAAAGTTGGACAGCCATTTGAATCTCCATTTCTACATTCGACTACAAGGTGGTGCCCCATAGTTAGCTAAGTTGGTTTATAAGTCCAATAACTAGGGTTTATGGGGGTTATATCTATAGTTAATGGGGATTATAAACCAACAAACATCACTGGGGGGGCACCACCTTGTAGGAATTCTGGGGAAATCTCCACGAGGATCCGAGAGCGTTACGCCTCCCAGACGGTGCTCATCAGTGGGGAGAGCGGTGCGGGGAAGATGCTTGGAGCGGGAACGCCGGAAATGGTGACTGGTGGCTCCATGTCGCGGTTTGTTTATGTTGATGTTCATTTCCCAAGAATCATGGGGGATATCATGGGGTTAACCATGGTTAATCCATGATTTAGTGCCCATAGGATCCATGTATGCTATATATGGTAACATGGATCCCATCAATATACCCCCTTTATGTTAGCATATATACCAGCACCATGGATCCGTCATGGGTTTGGGATAGTTCACTCTAATTCACTTCTGCGAACTTTTGGCATGGCACGCCCAACGAAGAGCCCTGGATTTTGACTTGTGCAACATCTTGTATGAATATCATCTACTTGTTCGATTATCTTCACCGACAAGCTGCGCACCTTCTGCGCTGGGCTAGAGCAAACCAGACCTCACCACGATCAAAGTATTCACCTTCTCCCACGTCCAGCTACGAGCCCCAACAAACGCAATGCGGATTGTGAGCCCAAAGGCACTCCGAAGCCCGCACCCAAAGCCAAGGCTGGACTAAAGAGCGCCATTTCTTTCAATCTTCTGTTTGGTCAATGCCAAAAATTATTGGAGTGGTGTATTTGATATAAATAATACGCCAGATAATTAAGTTATGTTTTTAAGTGATGATCCATTTTGGTGAACATGAATCCATCCACTGTTGGTAATTTTCCTATTTGTCAAGATCCCCATGTCGCTGGCTATATTCTCCCAGCAGACATTCCAGCCGCTGATTCATGCTCATTTTCCCCATTAAGATGGCTATTCGGATGATATACGGATATACCCCATTCTCAGACACATTGTATAAATGTCATATTAATATGGCCATGGATGGTTGGTAAACATCCTCAAAAATTGCTGCTAGCAATCTATCCCCATTTTAAACACACCCGTTATTGTCCCGTTAACATCGTATTGTCATAGTGTACATTATACATTCCATTGTATACTCCCATCATATCCTCATGATGTTGCCGTAAAACCCTGGTTGTGGGATGGTGAAAAACCGCCAGTTTGTTTGTACCATTGTTGATGGGTCCCGTCTACAGTTTGAAGATGGTATTCACCATGAAATTTCATCATCCAGAGATTTTCCACCACACAACTCGGCAGTTTTTTTGGTACAGTTTTTACTATTTGGTGATGAGTTAACCACTTTATTTACCCTGGTTGGTGGTGACTGGAACATGTTTTATGACTTTCCATATACTGGGAATATCATCATCCCAACTGGCGAACTCATATTTTTCAGAGGGGTAGGTATACCAGCAACCAGTACCAGTTTAGAAAACAAAACTCTTCCGGGTCTCTGACGTCTGACCCAAGGACTGAGACAACGAAATTTGTGATGCAATTCCTGGCTTTGACCAGCGCCACCAGCGCAGGCTAAGATTCGACGATTCGTTTGTGTTGGACGTATATAGAATCTATAGACGACATATGTAGACAGTAGTGGTCACATGTGATCACCAATTTCAATTGAATATCTGGAAGTGGATTTACATGGGAAACTTACCCGGCCTGGTAAACTATATAACAGTTTGCTATTGAAAATCGCCATTTATTAGTGGATTTACCCATTAAAAATAGTGATTTTCCATAGCTATGTTAGTTTACCAGAGGGTACATGTATTCTGCAGTGTTCCAGTCAAAAATGATCAGATCTCCGATGGAGGTGCCGGAGACTCATGCTGCATGTCGCGACGGATGTGAGATCTACATATCATATCTTGTCGCTTGAATACAGACACTCTAGTTTGTGGTTTCACGTTTTCATGCATGTATACGTATATATATATATATCTGTATACACCATATTTAATTGTACAAGTACTATTTACATTCATGATTTCATTATCTCAGTCATATTTCTATCAATCAATTATTCAATATAACTACATATATATCTATATATCCATCTACATCATTCTATCAATATATATATATATATATATATCGATCTACATCATTGATCTATGTCGATATGTTTACTACCGCAGGAAATGAAGATGTGACGTCGAGCACGTCGAGCCACCGGACACACCGAGCACCCGCGAAGCTGTCGCTCGTGGAGCGGCAAGTGCTGGGTTTCTGGGATGGAAAAATGCAATGGGTTGAAGGCTGAACTGGATATCAGCATCATATGTGTATTTATATATATATATATATATATATATACGCGTGTAACATCATATTTACATATGCATATGTGAATGTATATATAGTTATATTTACATACATACATACATACATACATACATACATACATACATACATACATACATACATACTTACATACATACGTGCATACATGCGTATCTATGTATTTACATATGTATATATATATATATATGATATATCAGTCATATAATACGATATAATATATCATAAAGCATAGATGTATCAGCATCGTAGTATTGCTGAACCACCACTGAACCTCCGCTATGTAGAAATGTATCAGCATCATATAAATTCATACATATATATATATATATATATTCAGTACTTTTTATTTCTACAACACAAACCATGCACATCCCATTGAAGACTTGTTTTGTTTATACATAATTATCCGTTAGCCAATCGTGTTTTTGTCTTCACTAGAAAACCAACTTCTCTCTTGACCATGCTTGGATCCATGTTTGGGATACTATTCTTTGTTTACAAGTACATGAATATATGTAAATGATATATATATATATATATACATATATATATATATATATACATATATATATATGGGTTTAGTCTGCTCTTGGGGTAATCCTTTCATCCCTTAACATTGCTATCATGAGAAAATATACAATTCACCTTCAAATCTATTTGATCAGGATCGCCAGAATCCACTGGACATTCTGTGGGCGCTGACTTGGGGGTGGTGTATGGCATTGGGTTTACCAACATTCACTGTGTATATATATATATATAATATATATAATATATATATATATATCATTAAACTATCAACATATACTATCATCAATGGTACCCTAAGATGTATTTTCCCCCTTCATGACATTTCATGACCGATCGGCAAGGCTCGAACCCTCTCCTGGAAGCCTTTGGCAACGCGCAAACCTTGCGGAATGACAACTCCTCACGTCCCTGGGTCGCTGATAATCCGGCCCAAGCGAAGTGTGCAAGAATCCGAGCTGGGCGTTTCAAGAATAGGTGGATACATCTCTTATAAGTACATATACAGTATAATGCATGCATGTTACATATATATATATATATAAGATTATATAAGCATGTAAATATGGTTAGCAAGTTATGTATGATTTGATGTCGTTCGAGTTTATCCCAGCACTAGTAGCTATGAACTTCTGGGATGAATCATCCAATTGCTTACCCTCCAGTAAATCAACATAGCTATGGCAAAAGTGCACAATTACTGGTTGGTGGTTTGGAACATGTTTTATTGTTCCATACATTGGGAATAATACAGTAATCCTAACTAATGAACTCAGATTTTTCAGAGGGGTTGGTTGAAACCACCAACTAACCAGATATATTATATTATATTATAAATCATCATTAACCATATATTAACCAGATATATAATCATATATGAACCATATATTAACCATATATTAAGTTGGATGATTTACCCATGAAAAGTCGGTATGTTTAAATCATCCATCGATGTTTGAACCATCCAACGTATCGTTGCAGAATCCGGGACAGGCGATTTTCTCTGCTCAAAGCCAAAGAAAGTGCTTCGGATTAATCTAGAAAATCAATCTAGAAACCATTCTTGGGTTTTCTAGCTTAAGCGATTAAGCTATAAAAAATTAATCTAGAAACCATTCTCTGCTCTACTCTGAAAAAAACATCTATGTGTTTCCATGACCCCCAAATGGTTTTCCCGTGCCAGGCATCGAATTGATCACTGGTTGGACGCCCCACTGACTAAGTCTGGGGATCAGCTCCATTCAGCGCCTTGAAGCCCAGAATGTTTACCCTCTGGTTATGACATTCACAGTTCGCCATGGTTTTTGGATGGCCCTAATCGAAATAGATGGTTTCCCGTTCTTAAAACTGGTGTTGATTTTCCATGGCGAACTGTTAGTCATAGCCAGATTTCCACCATTTTTTTGGGCTGAACACATCGGATGGATTTTGTTGGGGAATATTTTGTTGATTGGTCAATCCCTGCTACCCTCTGGTAATTTAACATAGCGAACTGGAAAGATCCACCATGCTATTAATGGGAAAATCCACTATTTCGACTGGGCCATTTTCAATAGCTACGTAACAAATTACCAGATGGTAAGTTCTAACCTCACTATGACCTCACTCTGACTGAATTTGATGGTCGGGGCCCACCAGTTCAATCGAGAGTTTGATGATCAACAAGTGATCTGGTTGGTGGTTTGGAACATGTTTTTTTTCCATGTATTTGGAATAATAATCCCAACTGACTTTCATATTTTTCAGAGGGGTAGGTCAACCACCAACCAGTGATTGTTGGACTACCTCATGTTTTTTTACACACCCAACATGGATATATTTCAGCACAAACTCTGCACCGTTTCTCCAGCCATCAAAAAGGGCATCGCCCATTCACGCTTCGAGGCTTCGGTAAATACATCGAGTTGCAATTCGCCAAACCCACGCAGTTGGGCGACGATGTGCCAACGCCCCGCATGGTGGGAGCACGCTGCTTGGCTGACCTGCAAGGTGACCCAGGGGGTGTTTAAGATATGTGTTTGTTTTTGTTTTTTTGTAGGGAAGGAGCCAATACAATATTGCATATTATTGTATATATATATACATGTAGTTATTAATATATTACACAAACATGATATACAATGTAATACATATATATACCCGTTGATTGTTACTAAATCTGAGGCCTCAGGGCCGTTACAGAATGGTTTTTGGCTACCATTTTGTGCAAAATTTTGACCCTGGGTTCTGCCATCTTGTAAGTGGACCCCCCCCTGGTACCGGAATTTTGCATTGGAAGTGCGAGTTTGTTACCCTCCAGTCCCGACCATTCTTTCGGAGTCTGGAGGGCTAATCAATAACCACTACAAATTGGATGGATTCAAAGCGTAAATGGATAATACTCAACTATAGCCCCTACAAACTGGATGGAATCAAAAAATCACAGAATAATTTTCATAGCCTAGGAGATCTCAAATAAGAGTGTATATTGAATGCATCAAGTTCCAATGCAGTCTGATAAGTGCACTTTATTGATGCCAACGTGAACAAATTTAACATCAGTCGCGACTTGCGATTTATGTCATTGCTCATGGAAGAAGAAGAATCAAATGTAGAATTTTTGTGCATCAAGTTTGTTGCTTCGACAGCCGCATGAATGAGCCATTTTGGTTGAGAGCAGAAGTCAGCGTGGAACAGGGATCCTAGGATATTGCGAGTATAGCCACCCCCAGTCCCCACCATTCTGTAAAGGGCAAATCGAGCCAACGGATGCGAGCGGATGCGAGTCGAGCAAAATCGGTGACTCATTTTGTACCTAGGGGTCAGCTTGGACTGCCATTTTGTAACAAAAACCTTCCTCGGTGAACGTTGGGTTCTGCCAACTTGTAAGAAGGGCACCTTGGGGACGCCGTTCTGTAGCTACAAAATGGGGCTCCCAACCCTTCGGGTCCAATCTGAACGGGGATACATATATTATAATATATAGATATACAAATACATATATTATAATATATAGATATACATATATTCGCATATTTTTGGAGATTGTGTTTGTATAATATATTGATATGTATATAATTATTGATGATAGGATACAGCATGTTGGTGACGGAATGTGGCTGGGCATGATTAAAGTCACTATTGAACTGAATTATTACGCTGCCAGCCCATTCTATGTAAGATGTCCATTCCATGTTGAAAAAACGGCAGTTAGCAGCTCTAGCAAGCACATGGACCCCAAAAAAAACGTCTTGGAGGTCTTGGAACAACTCATGGGGGCGACATGGATGCCATGAGGTATCCACACCTATCTGTTGGAAAAGGTCCGCGTGATCCGACAACAGGAGGCCGCATGGCCTACAGGGGTGGCGTTCTGATGTTCATCCCTTTCCCCCGAAAAAAAAAAACGACCCCCTCGGAATAAACACCTGGAGTACCCTCCGGTAAACTAACATAGCTATTGAAAATCACCATTTTTTATCGGTAAACCATCTATAAATGGGCAATTTTCCATAGCTATGTTAGTTTACCAGAGGGTAGTTTTTTTTATTAGGAGGAATTTAGTAGGATGAGAAACCAAACATCTGACTAAAATATTGCCAGAAAAGGGATTCTGAAGCGTTCTCCTAAAATGAATTTCAAAACCGTAAAAACAGGAAACTGAAATTGGATAGAATTGGATAAAATTGGTGATTTCAACATCGATCAACCAAATTCCCTACTAGAATCTAATTGCCAAAGATTGGATTTCGAAGCTGTCCCCTAGTATTAAATTGAAAACCTTCATAAAGAAAACTATTTTTTGATTTCAATATCGATCAAATTCCCTTTTAAAGTCTAATTAAACTGTTGCCAAAAATATCCAAAAATTGGGTTTCACGGCTTTCCCCTACCTTTAAATTCAAAACCTTAATTTTTAACAATATAATTTTCGAGTTTACAAGACGACCTGAATAAAAAACACCCCCGGTCAGCCAGTTTTTCTTATTAGATGATGACACCCTCAAATTTATAAATTTGATCAATTGAAATCAAATGACCCGCTTCCATGTTTGCGCCACGGCCCATGCCACACCCCACGGCCACCCTCCAAACCAAGAGTTCAGTCTCTAGTGTTAATGTTTCGATGTTGCTTCAATTCTTTCAATAAATACTTACAGTTGTTTGTTGCAGTCAATTGCACCATGCCTGTGTAATGAGAATTTGTTTGTGAACGTACCACCTACTCCCAAAGCTAGTTCAAGATGTGTTCATCTCACCATTTGTGAATTGCTTGTGTTATGGGTGTGACATTCTCTCCTCACTTGTTGGTTTCACCCTTACTCGGAAAATCATTCTGCGATTGTTACAATTGGCGTTGAATAGGTTCACGTTTTGATGCTGAAACCCTGTTCAATGAAATGCCTGGTTCAATGAACAATGCTTCATTGAATTGGCTTCGCGACTTGGCGCTTCGCCGGTCAGTTTCTTTTCTCCCCCAGTGAACCCCCATCCATCATCCATCCCCATCCATCCCCATCCTTGATACTTGACTTCCAACGTTCAACGCAACGGTCTCAGGGCGAGCGCGGCTTCCACATCTTCTACCAAGCCCTCAGCGGCGCCAACGGCGACAGTCGCAGTGTCACCACGGGCGCAGAGGAGGAGCTGGAAGGATTCAAAGGATACACCTTGGAAACTTGGAGAATTGGAGGGATAAATGCATATACATACCTTGGTTGGAAAGCTTAAAAGCAACATAATGTTGGCTGCCTAATAATAAAACCCCTCTCCCTAATCTTTTTGAACATTTTCCTTTTTTTAGGGGGGGTCAGCATTCCAATAGTAAATTCCTGGAACCCTATTCTGGATACTATACCATGCCCTCTGGACAAGGTCAGAACATGAGTTTTTTGGCAATACTAAAATTAAATTAGGCTAATTTACTTTAAGTATTGGAGAAAGAACTTGAGTTGGGAAAAAGTTTCCACTATTGCCATGTTGGGTCCAGTATTGGCCATGCCCTCTGGACAAGGTCAGAACATGAGTTTTTTGGTAATATTGAATTTAAATTAAGCTACTTGACTTTGAGTATTGGAGATAAAACTGGAGTTGGTAAAAAAAAAAGTTTCTACTATTGCCAAGAGATCACTATTGGTTAGACAACATTAAACAATGGGCATGGTGACCATTTGGGTGTTTTTTCTTGTTGTATTTCTGACTGGCATTGATTTGGATGGGCTTGTTTACTGCTAGAATGGCGATTTGGGTCCATGGTTTTTTGTCTGCTGGAAAGTGATGGTTTATCTTGTTCTGGGTCATCTTGATTGGAGGACGTTGTGGACGGTTTGGGTTTGGATTGGTAACGGCAATGTCTGCGGTCAATTTCAGCTACAATCCTGCGAAAACACCTTGGTTTTGCTCGAAAAGGTTGGTTTGGGGGTGAAAACCAACGACAAAGTGAGGGTTTGACCAGAACAAAAGCGGTTTGAAGCAGCATCAATTGGCAAGATTAGCCAAGACTTAAATGGGACGGTCCACGGGGCAAACGGACATGTTGAAACTGGAAGAAATCCTTGATACTGTGGATGGAAGAAATCCGGCACCAGTTGATAGGTGGTTTATCCTGTGATAAGCCCACTATTATCCCACTATTTACAGTGTTTCATAAAGACCAAGAGTTCCCCTGCCTGGTGCAGGATTTCGCAACCATCCGCAGTAGGTTAACCTCCACACCTTGGATAGCCTGAGAGTCCAGCAGGTCCAGCAGGTCCTGGAGAGGTCTGTGAAAGAACATGGGATTTCCCATAAAAATGGCAAGTGAAGCCTGGAGTAAACATGTAAAAAGTATGGACAAGCAATCATTTCTCCGGGAAATCAGCTATGAAACAATTCAACTAATCATTCAAGTCTCCAAAATTCGGATATGTTTTCCCATGTTTTCCCAAAAGTAACAAAACATCCCAAATCTGTGAGTCCATGTTGGTGTCTCATCTCCCCATGCTGCTGCCCAGAAGGGTTGCCACGCAACGGCCGTATCTAAGGACTCCTTCAGATACTTGAACAAGCAGGCTGGCCGCGGATTTTCCTGAACACTTTAGATGTGTTTCTTGTTTAGTATGTGTATTGATAGTTGTGTTTGAATCAAGATGCCATACTACATCATCCTGAATCGTACTACTCTTAGCAATATCTAAAAATTGGTGAATTCATTAGAGTTTTCCTATCGGCCCTATCCTATGTTCTTTGCTTACGGTGAATGTTACGGAATGTGAGATCTCTGCACCAAAGCAGTGAAAACCAAATGGATTTTGTCATGAGACTTGATTAGACCATATATATATATACTGTTTATATATATATATATATACAGTTTCTGAAGTTTGCAGGGTGTTGCTTTGTGTTTTGCAGTAGTGTATGGTTATGATATGTGAAATAAAGGCTTGATACCCAAGAACAATCGCAGTGATTCGTGGCTTGGAATATGAGACAGTAATTCCATGCCGCACGGGCATTGAAACCACCAATCAGATTTACTGGTTGGTGGTTTCAAAACATGTTTAATTTTCCAAAATATATGGGATAATCCTTCCTATTGACTATTTTTTTTATTTTTTTTTCAGAGGGGTTGAAACCACCAAACCGATTAGACCAACCATGATATCCTCTTGGTTCCCACCCATTACATCCGATTAAATGCCAATTGTCGCCCCATTGAAGCTGGTACCAAACACGGGTTTGCCGGTTCACCAAATTCCAGTGGGTTATGACATGTTTCCCTGTTAAAGGGCCAGAATTTTGGTTACACTTCATCATTTTCAGACAAAGCCTAATATCATATATCAAGTTGACTATTATATATATATACATATGTAGGTACCAGTATAGTTCAATAGCCGTTGAATCGGGATAACATGTTTAATGTCTCATTTCAAACATCCAATAAATCTAATGAGATCAGGAATGAGCTTAAATGGTCCTGGGTCAAAACCCTGGTACCCTAGGTACCCTAAAACAGATGGTTAATGGTTACCCTCTGGTAAACTAGCATAACTATGGAAAATCACCATGTTCAATGGGTAAATCCACTATTTCTATGGTCATTTTCAATAGCTATGTTAGTTTACCAGAGGGTATTCCCCCAAATATCTATGGAGATGTCATAGGTTTTGACCCCAAATCATGGCATCCAGGAGATGGACAACGAAGTGGAACAGTTCGAAGCCACCCTGGTTGCCATGGACGCAGTAGGCGGGGAAAATGGAAAGTTCGCGCGCAAGTTTGCCATTTGGGTCTGGGTCAAAATTGGGTACTCCAATGGCATTGGATGGATAACTCACATTCATTCTAAAAAAACTACAATCTGTGGCCCATGGGGTCTGGAAGAACTTGACCTACACCCATGTCCGTATTTATTAAATAGTGGTTAAATTGTCATCATTATTTGGGGATGTCAGAATTATCGATTCTTATCATTGTTTAACTTTCTGGTGCTTAGCAGGGAATGAGGGAATGATCCACAATAACCATCAATCATATTCAATAATCATCCCATTCCCATCCATTCCCATCCGTTCCCTACGTCAAACGCACCAGTAAGACTATCACCTTTAACCAATGACCCGGGCATTGACCCGGGCAATGACTCAATAAACCATATATTTGGAACATGTTTTTCTATATATTTGGAATGTCATCACCCCAACTGACTTTCACTCCATCATTTTTCAGAGGGGTAGGGCTCAACCACCAACCAGAGAATATTGATTACATATAATACCAATCATAACTATGGAAAATCACCATTGTTTAATGGGTAAATCAACTATGTTAATCACCTACCCTATGGTAAATAAACACAGACCCTGAAAATCACCAGTTTTTAATGGAAACTAGTCTTCCAAGCCCTATCTGGCAGGGTCTATGTTAATTTACCAGAGGGTAAGTAGGGCCGGCCTTCAGGCCATCAGCAGAGTTGACGTCGCCGCCAGGTCTCTCCAAGACCGAGATCCGCAAGATCTTCCGAGTCACCTGCAGCCGGGGAGAGCGGGGAGACCCCAAAACCCAAAGCTGGCATGACATCATGACAGTCCTAGGGGTCCCCCCCAAAAAAGATGGAAAAGCCATGGGAAAATGGGAAAACATAGGAAAAGCCATAGGAAAATGGAAGTAATTATATATAGTGGGATACCCACTGGTAATGACTAACATATACTAACATAGCTATTGAACATGGCCATAGAAATAGTTGATTTTCCCATTAAAAATGGTGGATCTTTCCATAGTTATGTGGCTGTTTACCAGAGGGTAACATCAAGATGTTGCTGAGTATGTGTTCTTTAATATCGTTTGTGGGACCTTGATCATGTGGTAAACCCGATACTCAACAATCTTCAAAATCACCATAAATGGGTTCTATATATAAACCATCCCCAAAAGGTAGGTTTTTGACATTGGGTTGCCCACGTTAAATGTACTAAAAGCATCTAAAAGCACGTGATAGTCTCCAGTGAAAGTACGACTCTGCCAAATGAGGGCTTGGAAGATTTGTGTTCACTATATTGATTTACTGGAGGGTAGATCAGAATTCATCACCATTTATCATTATCATTATTAACCGTTATAGACTTCCAGTTATTATCCGTGAGTATTACATACATATACAATTATATATATATATATTACATATATATGTATATATATATATATATCAAATATCCATGAATTTAACTGGAGGCTACTCGTTCATTTGGCACATCACCGTCGGAAAAAAAAAAAAAAAACGCCCGTTCGTGGCCACGAGGTGCTTGCAGCAGTTCTGCACTTGGGCAATGTGACCTTTCAGGATCGGCTTCCGCGGGAATGGAGATGACTGGGTCTGCACATGCCACCATTATCCACCATTGTTGATGATGTTGATGGTTAAATCCTACCGTAATATCATATTGTTTCTTATACCCTCTGGTTATGACTACGTAGCCATGGTTTTTCGATGGCCTAGAAATAGATGGCTTACCGTTCTTACAAATGGTGGATCTTTCCATGGCTATGTTAAATAACCAGATGGTATATCCCATGAACATCTCATGAAATATCACCATAATTCTATCACCATATGGAATGAATTATACCACCATATCTGGGTAAATTTCATCACGACCTCACTGTTCTCCCGAAGCCTGGAATCATGATTAGATTGCGGGGAATCCCAAAATGGCCCAACATGTCGGGTTAGTGAATGCTTTTAATTTGACCAGACCAGACCATATGGAGGGTTCCTAAGTCATAGGGATTTTATACAAATCATCCAAGTCATTAGGTCCTAGGTCATTTTAGTATTGAAAGCCATGGTTTTGGGGTACCCCCATTCTAGGAAACCCCCATATACCACGACCACCATATACCAGCATATAGCACCAATATGCCAGCAATTGGATCAATTGTACCGATTGACTCCGATGGATTGTCCAATTTGATGAAATGTGATGGTAATTAGCTCATTTTCAGACAAACCTATTGGGTGATTTCTTGTTGATATGACTTGATGGATCGACAGAACGTAGAGAGACCATATCACAAATCCGCAGTGATCTGTGCCCAGAAATGTGTCAGCGGAACTGAAAGACTCAAAGTCATCGACGATTGAGGCCAGCTTCCTTTTCCGCTTCCTGAATCAGACCAATGTCGGCAGAGTTTTTTCTTCGATTTTCAGCGACTTAGAATACTGCATTGGACTGACTGTTTTCGTACCATGCCAACGACTAAGGAGTTACTTCACACACCCTAACTATCCCATAAAACAATATACCCTGTGTTAATTTAACGTAACTCTGGAAAATCATCATTTAAAAAAGCTAAATCATGAATCATAAATCATCAATATACCATGTTTATCAATTTTCCATGGCTATGTTACATAAAGTTACATGCTGTTACACAACCTGAGGGGTAGAGATCGATAACTCTCCGGGATACCAGGACGAAGGCGAGAGCTCCAAGGTGGAGAACGGAGGTGCCTTTTGGGCCCCCGGGGCCCCCTGGGGGCGCAGTTTGATGATCATGAAATGACTGGGATCGTGACGCCGTGACGCCACCCGGTGGGAATTTTAAGTGGAATTTGTTTTGGTACCAACCATGGTTTTTAGATCAACCCAAGTTTTTTGTGTCAAAAAAAACTGGGGATGTAACTTGGTTCAACCAAAAATGAAGGTAAAAAACAACAACAATGGATGTATGACCCATAGGATCCATGTATGGTATATATATGCTAACATTGGGGGTATATTGATGGTAAATGTTACCATATATAGCATACATGGATCCTATGGGTGATGGAATATGACTCGACCAACATGACAGAGCGTGGACAATGAGCAGAGGGGCAGAGGCGAAAGACACCATTGCTGCAAGAACTTCCGTGGAGCAAGGCAGATTCAAATCCTTCAGTTAGCTTGTGTTTTGTGCTTCTCCCCACCATTTATATAAGCTTCTAGTTCAATCTCTATTGATCTTAGAGGTTTTAAAGCCCATATTTTTCTTGACTCAAAACCTATGGTTTCCTATGGTTTTCTTGGTTCCAGCAGCTATTTTCCGCTCCAAGAGCTGCCAGGCACCAGTTGCATCAGCTGCGACCTGCTGGGCGTCTCTCTGGATTCGCTCAGCACAGCGTTGACCAGTCGCACCCTGCGAACGCCCGTACCGCGGCTGACGCTGCGGACGCTGCGGGTGGAACAGCACATGGTTTTGAGATGTGTGTTGACAATGTGGCTATGAATCAATACCTATTAATACCATTTTTAATGGGATGAACATCCATTTACCAGCTATTTTGATGTGAACTACAGGGGTACAAGGTTCTGACACACTGCCATGTGATCGGGTGTATAGTGTTATTGTCTGCTTTAAACCATTAAAAAAATATAGGGATATCTAATGTTCACCCATATAGCCATATGTTAATTGGTTACCCCGTTACCCGTTGGTCATTGAACATAGCGATTGAACATCGACGTTTGTTTTTTTGTTTCGGTGAATCATCGAACTTATGGGCCGTGTTTTCTGCACGGGATAAGACAAGGGTCAACAGTCCCCATTGTCAATTGGTTCATGCACAAAACCTGGTTGGTGGTTTGGAACATTTTTATTTTTCCATAGATTGGGAAGTTCATCATCCCAACTGACGAAGTCCACCATTTTTCAGAGGGGTGGGTCAACCACCAACCAAGAAGCTTGTTGACCATTGTTCTGAATGGTGGATTGTTGACCAAGAAAAAATGGATCTGGGGAGAGGTTGACTTGCTTTGGATTGAAGCAGCAAGATGTCTATCTGAATATCAGTGGATCAATGGATCAATCCCAAATTTCTATAACTTTCTTGGTGATGGTAAAATGGATCATGTTCCCCCAAAACAATCCAGGACATGTCGGACATGGGGGATTGATCCATCGATCTATCCCCCTTTTGGTCTAGAAAAATCCGAAGCAAATGGTGGCATTGAAGCAAGGAAACATGATTTAGCAACGGCGGTTGAACCGGGAAAGAATGTGGAAATGGTAGTGGGATCCAACAGAATTTATGTACTTGAAATGGAGATATGTTTCCTTTTCCATCCTGTTTCCAATGGCTGGTTGAGTATTAGACTTATATACTAGAGGGGTATCTCCCTAATGAAGAATCCATGCATAAAACTGAAAATGGCAAACTAGAAACCAGACCCCTGCTGTTTCCAAAAAGACGTGGTTGATTTGATTCACGGTTCGAAGAGAAAAAACATTTGGGAATTCTAAGACCATAAACTTATAGGAATTTAGATGGATATTGTAGCAACGATTCAGTATGGCAATAAAGACGATACATGGCTGGAGACTTTATCGTTACCTCAAACAACTCAAGTGTTGGATATTCATGAACTTATGAAGTTCCTGGTCTTAATTCAGTTTGGTAATCAATCAAATCACATGTTATTTTTTCTGATCTATAAGTTGTGTTGTGATCTGTCAGGACTCAACGGCAACAATGATACAAGTCAACACATGGGATAATCATAAACTTGGTGGTTCATATAATATATATATAAATATTATATATACATATATGTACTGAAAGCCGAAGTTATTACTCAGTAACTCCGTATCTTCAGCCGGTTGTATGGCTGTGTAGAAAAACTGGAGAACGGACCCCCTGATCTGCAAAATCCTGAGCAGAAAACATATCCAGTCAACTTCTCAAGCATCTCAACTTGAGCTGTTGCCCACTTTGTTTCCTAGTTTGAGCTGTTGAGAAAGTGGGACGGGAAAGCTGCATTTCTCAAGTCTCATCATTTACCCTCTGGTTATTTAACATAGCCATGGAACATCACCATTTTGAATAGGTAAACCATCTATTTCTATGGGCCATCTATACCATGGCTATGTTAAATAACCAGAGGGTACCCGCTCCAATGGTGTTGTTGTTCTATGAACTGAATCACCGAGATTAGAAGTAGATACCTGTGATGATGATCTTTCAGAGATGATCATACCTTGATGACTGACTGGAGCTGTTTTTCAGACCTTGAGACCCAGACCCCAAAACAAACACATACTGTATATATATATAATCATATTATATACATATATATATATATATATACATATATCTATCTATGTGTGTTTCCAACCAAAATGGTGCAACAATCTTGTTTACCCCCCAAATCCCCGTTGTTTCCAGCCCCATGTCTTCCCTACGTCAATCCCAGGAAGGACTTATCCGATCCAAGCATAAGAGTGACAAGGCTTGCGGATGCAGAGACTTGGTGAAACAAAATAGCCGTCGTTACGTCGTAGCGAAGGCCCCGAGTCGTTACAAAGGTGTTTTTAGTAACCCATGACGGATCCGTGGTGCTGCTATATATGATGACATGGATCCCATCAATATACCCCAGTCATGTTAGCATATATACCAGCACCATGGATTCTATGGGTAATGGAAAAAGGGAGCTGATCATCAAGTCAGAAAACAGAAAAGTCATAACATGTTGATAATCTTATGAATTTGGACACCATAAATGACATATAAATGACATATAATCGTTTGATTTGAATCAGTTCCAAAAAACGACCTCAGTAATTCGATGGAAATGTATGAATTGTATCTTATTCGGCCAGATGCAAGGCCCAAGCCTTCCATGAGTAGAAGCAGGGATTAAGTGATTTGATTTTTACACCAGCATTACAAAAGCATCGCGGAAAAAAGCACGGGTGATGCAGCAATGCATTGAATGAGCGAAAGTCAAAGAAAGCAACTAGGAATGACGGAGGCTTCAACGGACATGGTATGATTTGTTGTTTCCACCTGGATTCCCCAGAATTTTCATGGTGATCGGCTTGATCATGAAGCTGTCGCGCCCCAAAATGCAATGGTGTTTATCATGATTTGTCTGTGAACATGTCCGCAGTGCAAGTGTGCACAAAGCATATTATGATTATACCCCAAGTATATTCCAACTTCCAACTACATTCCAACTATACCCCAACTCTATATATATATAATTATATCCCAACTACATTCCAACTATATCCAATTATATCCCAACTATATCCCAATTATATTCCAACTATATGCCACTATGTCCCAACTATATCCCAACTATATTCCAACTATATGCCACTATGTCCCAACTATTTCCCATTATATCCCCTTCTATCCTATTATATCCCATTAAGATCCCATTGAAATCCCACTAAAATCCCATGATATCTGTATTCTTGGTGATATCCCGATGATATCCCAGTCTGCCAGTAGCTTGTGGCACCGTACTCCTCAGGAGACGCGCTGGCAAGGCATTTGCTCCTCGGATACAACGTGATGCTTTCGGGGAGAAAAAACCATAGTATGGTGACCCAGCATGAAGATGTGATTAATGTATATTAGTGTGTACCATCCACTTATCCAGTTGCATAAAAATGTGTATGATGTAGTTAGATCAGGCAGCGTCCGTTTTGTATCCTACCCTGTCGCGCGGTCTAACAAAATTATATAATTATATACACATATATGTACATATATATATATATATATATATACGCCAATTACATCCTCCTCTTTATCCGTGCATATATATATATATATGTGTACAATTATATACATACAGAGAGAGAGACACATAATTTGAATGTATATACATAAATGTACATACATAAATGTACATACAGAAATGTACATACATAGATGTACATACGTAGATGTACATACATAAATGTACATACATAAATGTACATACATAGATGTACATACATAGATGTACATACATAGATGTACATACATTGATGTACATAGATAGATAGATAGATAGATAAATAGATAGATAGATAGATAGATACATACATACATTCATACGTTACATATATGCATGCAATGCATAGATACATCGTTACACATAGATACATAGATAAGTACGTACATACATACGAAGATACACACATACAGACAATACCATACCACGCCACACCACACCATGCCACACCATGCAATACCATACCACACCACACCATGTCATACCATACCATACAGCAATACAATGCAATATAGTGCAATTCAATACAATACAAGACCAGACCATACCACAACAGACATGCATGCATGCATACCTACCTACCTACCTACCTACCTCCATGCATGCCTGCATACATGCATACATACATACATACAGAATGTGTAATACATTCAACACAAGTGGTGCACAATGAATATGTGATGATCATGGGATGATTTGGTGGATATCTGCAGAACCGTTAAACGTTGTATCTGCAGACCCATGCGCTTTGATCCAACCTCGGCCATCTTTGGCAGTGCTGATGCGCACCATTGATATGTAGATGGGAAAAGCCTAATTGGAAAACTAGTGAAAACTATGGAAAAAATCATCTTCAATGGATGGGAAAACTATGGAAAAATCATCTGAAAAATGGAAACGGAACGGGGCCCGGGGACCTTGATCTCATCGAATCTGAAGGTACCATGCAGTCTTCAACTACATCGTCCAGCGATCCAATGCGACCATTGGCTTCCAAAAGAACTTGAGCTTCTGCGCCTTGAGCCGAGAAAGAGATCGCGTGGGTTTTTCGAATTCAAAGATCGGGTTCATCAGAGTATTTAAGGTGATGTGAAAAATCTTAGCATATCTTAGCCATGATATCAAGTCAAGCCTTAAATTTCTGGATAGAAACCTGCAGATTTCATTTCCCATAGGATCCATGTATGCCATATATGGTAACATTTACCATCAATATACCCCAAATGTTAGCATATATACCATACATGGATCCTATGGGTTTGGGTTCGCTTCGCTTCAGGTGGTGTGCTCGATATCTTCGGTTTCGAGTTCTTTCAGTGGCTCGATCTCAACTCGATCTCGGATCTCCGGGAGGTCTTTCTGTCTGAGTTCAGTGGGGATTACCCTCTGGTAATTTAACAGTTTGCTATTGAAAATGGTGATTTATAGTGGATTTACCCATTGATAGCATGGTGATTTATAGTGGATTTACCCATTGAAAATGGCCCATTGAAATAGTGGATTTACCCATTGAAAATGGTGGATCTTTCTATAGTTATGTTAGTTTACCAGAGGGTAACCCCCCAACTTCCCCAACTACTCCCAACTATGGCAATTCTTCATAGGGATAACGATGATTAATTGATGTATCAATCAATGGATTCAGGTTTTGTTTGTCTCATTTTCAGACAAAACCATATACGAAGTCATAGAAAAATAGCTGGGGATAGCATCATTTGGATTCATTTGGCACATTTTGCACCCAACACACAAACATCATGAACATTTGGGGCTGAGGGACTGAGTCATGGCAGCCAGAATTTCGCCTGAAACAAAACCTCATCATCCCATCCAAAGGCTCCAAGTGCGCTTTTTTCTTTCCTACCATTCTAGGTCAGTTTCGAAAATTTAGAGACAAATGGAGGTTTCCAATCCATGGGGTGCCCTGGAAAAATCATCCGTGTTATTTTCGGATGTTCCATGATAAACCATCCATTCTGGGATCCCCATCAATGGAAACCTCAAAATGAACTTTTGGTAAAGAAACACAATGCTCACGTGAGCACTCTGAAGCGCTAGAGCCGCTAGTTGCTGTTTTCCACCCAAGAGCGGAAGCTCGTTTTTTTTTTCTGGAACCTACGAGCAATGGCAATGGCGTTTTTGTCGGTTGACTTGGCGGGAAACATCCTGAATCCTTTGTTAGTTTGGTTCTTTATGTTGAACATCCTTCAAATTCAAGATAGTTCAAGATATTTCAAGATATATCCCAGATATCTCAAGATATTTCAAGATATTTTTCACCATCTTTGACCATTATTTTCTTTTCAAAAAAAAGCCGCGCTTAGCCATCGCTGAAACAGACAGGTGGAACTCACTGGAACAGCTGTGTATCAACTACACCAATGAGCTTCTACAGCAGCAGCTCGATCTGTCGATAGCTCGATAGCTCGACGCTGATCGATGTGTTTTTTTTTGTGTTTTTTTTTTTGTGGATCCACATCATGTGTTTTGAATGGACATATTGCTGGCTTATGACATATATATATATATATATATATTAATATATATATATATATATATGATGACATTCATGATGATGTTTGATCATGTTTGTTGGGGTGATAACTTATGACATCCTATGACCAAGACTCGAGAGACCGGTGCAGCCAAATATATGGTATGGCAGTGAATGTAAGAATACACGCGAGTGTTCGGCAAATTAATTAACATTTTATATTTTACCGGGCCCAAGCAGCAGTTGCAGATGAGCAGTGGAGGGCTACAGTGTATTATGTCCTGTAGTTTCTCAGCATCGGCAGAGATAGCGGGAACACAGTGACTGCGAGATATGTTTTACTTGAACGACTCATGAATTCACTGGCCAAGTCACTGTATAACCCATGACGGATCCATGGTGCTGGTATATATGCTAACATGACTGGGGTATATTAGTATATTAATGGGATCCATGGAGCACCATATATGGCAGCACCATGTATCCTATGGTTAGGAGCGTGTCGGAGCTGAGGGTATCCATATTCCCAACCACCTCGGAGAGAATGACGGGGGTGTCTCAGCAACAGCTACAGTTAAATTACCACGACGTGTCACGATGTTCATATATTCTCATATATGTGCTAGCTATATTATATATAAATCATAGCTAAATCCCATTTGAATCCCAAATCCTATATAAATCCCATTAACTCCCCTTAAATTTCAATAATTCCCATATAAATCCCATATAATCCCATTAAAGTTCATTGATTTTCATATAAATTCCATATGGAATCCATGTAGACTCCTTCGGTTCCGCGGTGAGGTACTTCAACGAGTTCATCTTTGAGAACGAGACGACTCTGTACCAGGTGCCACATGATCCTGCAAAAGAGATCCTGATATCTTGACACATATGGATATTTATGGATAGTTAATGATAGTTAGTGATGGTTAATGACAGTTAATTACAGTTAATTACAGTTAGTGACAGTGAATGATAGTTAATATTTATAGTTAAAAAATATAGTTAAAATTTATAGTTAATATGTATAGTTAATATTTACAGTTAATATTTATGGTTAATATTTATAGTTAATATTAATAGTTAATATTTATAGTTAATATTAATAGTTAATGATAGTTAATGATAATCAGTTATTATTAATATTGATAGCTTAATGATATATATATATATGGAAATATATGGATAACTATTAGATCATTATTGCAAATCTATGGAAATATACAGAGAAACATTAGGGTTGTTTCACCATGGGTTCAAGACTAAGTCATGGTCTCATGACTTGGATGATTTATTTGGGGTACCGTACTTTTAGGAAACCTCCTTTGTGCAATAAAATAAATAGGGATCTATTGGATATCGAAAAGGGGATATTTATTGGGAATATCATGAAATATAGAAAATTGGGATTTAAACCAACCAGGTTGATAACCATAAATTATATTTATACTGTATATATTTAAACCAACCCTCCGGTGTCATCAAATGTGGCTGGCGGGAAATCCACGAAGAAACTAAGGAGAAACCTCGGAATCGCTGGGAAAATCATCGAAGTAAATGGCAGACGTTCCAGCGAGCCACGTTTTACAACTCCCCCGTAAAGTATGTAATATATATATATAATATATATATATAACATATTATATTATCCTCTATGGCATCTCTGAAAAGCTTACTTTCTTGCTGTGACAAACAACATTTTTTTCACATGAGTTCATTGCCGCTGAATGTTACGGGACGCCTCACGAGCAGCGGTCGTCAGGAAGAAGGGATCAGTTGGGATGTGCAGGATTTCCCGGACAACAGCAGCATTTTGGAGCGGGGCGGCAGGGGTGACGTCAGGGGTGTTGAGAGAACTGAATTCTCGTTGTAGTTGATATATGTTGGTATGGTACAGCATGGTCCAGCCCTGAATCTGGAGGTCTAGACAGGTCTAGATACCCTCTGGTAAACTAACATAGCTATTGAAAATGGCCATAGAAATAGTGAGTTTTCCCATTAAAAATGGTGGATCTTTCCATAGTTATGTAAACGTTTACCAGAGGGTACGTCTAGACAACATCCAGGACACGGTGTTTGACATACGAAAAATCCCTGGCGAGGAGCTGCTCCACGGGAAGTTGGAGGGTGTCCTTCCAATGCTGGAGGAGGAGTGTTTCCACGTGGGCGGATCGGCAGATGCCTGGTGTAACAAATTGGTACCTCGCCGCTAAGGGCGGGGGCGGAGATGTTTCACCACGTTTCACTGTGAATTCCGGGGTGGATTTTTTAAAAAACTGAAGCCGATGGCCGAAAAATGATGAGAAATGGAAGCAATCCATGGCAATCCGTGGCAGTGTTTTTATGGGAGGGTACCCTCTGGTAAACTAACATAGCTATTGAAAATGACCATTTATAGTGAGTTTTCCCATTAAAAAAATTGTGATTTTCCATAGTTATGTTAGTTTACCAGAGGGTAATTTTAGAGGTGTAGTTCGACAGCTTCTTCGACAGCTGTGAAGCGAAGGGTTGTTGCTGGGATTCTGGGGATCCTCCTGATCCCATGAGGTACGTTTGTACGAGCAGCATCGACACTTTGGGCACGACCGATTGAAGAAGGGCAGCTTCATCATTCGTCCCTGGTAGAAAATGAGGAGAACGTGATACTGTTTAAGCCTCCAAGTACCTAGAAAAATGATGAAAAATGATAGAACATCAGGTCATACAATGTAGATCTAGCATGATCTAGCCATTATTTTGGGACTACCCGTTTTCAAAATGGAACTTGGATGGGTCTAAGTAGTGACTTCATAGTGTTCGATCCTTGGTAAAAATCAGATGGTGGCTTCAAATACGGTTACTGTGCTTCCATATGTGTCAATGAATTTCCATCCTTACTAGAAATGCGATAAGGTTTTCAAGGGTTCGACTATGTTCGACTATTGAATTTGCTTGATATATGTTGATGAGTTTACATATGCATGTGGTTCAAGAAGGGGATTTTGCATATTCCCCATTGCCCAGAACTGGAGGAGTAAATTATGTGACCCCCACCACTATTGTAGCCACAAACCATGGTTTGTGTCGATTGCCAATCATGGGAAAAAGTGAAGTTGTTGGCCTTGTCGAACATGTTGCCCTGGTTTGTCTTGCGAACTGGAAAGTCACCATTTAAAGAAGTGGTACATCAGGGTAAATCATCTGGGAATGTGCTAGTTTAAAAGAACAAAAACTGTTCCAAAATCATCCAAGATCTGACTATTTCTTAAATCCATTCAATACTTTAAGTAAATAATATAAACTATGTAAATTATACCATGATTATACCATATTATACCATGATTATTATACCATGATTATACCATGATTATACCATGATAATACCATGATTATACCATGATTATACCATGATTATACATGTGTGTTTTGTTTTTAGCTTTGTTTTGCCCCACCCCAAAATCCGTTCGAATCCCTTCGAGGTCACTTCGCGGGTCCTGTGACCTATCAATGCACCGAGTTCTTGGAAAAGAACAAGGCCGATCAGCCGAAAACCGCGAAGAGATCAGCGCGGGTGGTGGGATTTTCCATTGAGGCTATGGATCTATGGTTTGTTTAGCCCTTGAACAACAGGTTTCTATGATGATAGATGGTATACCAAACCGGCCCAAACCTATTTTTACCAAAAGGACATTATTGCTATGGCTCAATTCAGCCTTACCCCAAGAGTATAGAGTTAGGACATGTATATTATAGTAGCAGTCATAGATATAGTCTGATATAGTAATAGTTAGCAAATGGAAGTCAAAAAAAGCTCATGATTTCATGATTTCTAGTGAATAGTACTCCAAAAAAAAAGAACATGTTGGTGAATGGAAGCCCACCTTGAATCAAAGTGGTTAGGATGAGGCAGCTGGACAGCCGGCGGGCCGGCTTGAACCCAAATTGGACTTTTTAATGACTTTACTGAATAGATTAATAACTATGGTGAGTAATCATTAATGGTTCATAATGGTGATTAATGGTTAATGGGTTAATAATGGTGATTATATAATGGAGACCAATGGTAATGTGTATAAAACATGATAAAACAATGTCATAAACCACCCATGACTGGGAATGGTTTTTTACATACCACCTAGAAAAATGGGGATGACTGGGGGATGGTGCAAATGGCATTGTTTTAACCACATTACATACAATGTGAGGCCCCCAAGATGGCTAAGTTGGTTTATAACTCCAATAACTATGGTTTATGGTACTTATAACTATAGTTACTGGGGCTTATAAACCAACTTATAACTGGGGGGCCTTACATTGTAATGATGATTCAATTGGGAAACCCAAAAAACTGAGCCAGATCCGAAGTCGCGTTGAAAGACTTCCAGGTGGATTCAGTTTTTCTCAGCGATTTTTCCGCAAGATCAGCCTCCTCGCTGGTTGGATTTGTCAAAAACTTTCTTGGCCATCAATAGGGGGGTTCCATAGTCATGGGATTGTCATGGGGGTAGCCCTATCAATGGATAGTTTATAATGGCAAGTCTTAATGGATGATGATTTAGGGGTACTCCCCATGACTTAGGAAACCTCCACATCGATGAGGATCCGAATTCATAAAAACCGCACCATAGCACAATGGGATGATGATCCCTAAGATCCATGTTCGGGATTTTGATACCACCATTCAGATCAAACATACAAGGTGGTGCCCCCTAGATAGCTAAGTTGGTTTGATAACTCCAATAACTATGGGTGATATATCTATAATTAATGGGATTTATAAACCAAATTATAACTAGGGGGGCACCACCTTGTAGTATACTGGTAGGTGGTTTGGAACATTTTGTTATTTTTCCATATATAGGGAATGTCATGATCCCGACTCATATTTTTCAAGATGATTAAGTCACCACCAAGCAGTATAGATCTGGATAAACTATCCTGTCATGGTTAAGGGGAATCATCCCCACATGGCCTTATTTCAGGTGCTCTGGCCGGCCAAGGGAAGATTGTGGGCCTTGTTTCAGGCGAGTGAAATATAAAAAAGTTTAACCCAGTAGATGTTTTTGTAGCCAAATATATCATGTTTCCAATTATATATGATGTTGAACCATAGATATTTCCAATTACCCTCTGGTAAACTAACATAACTATGGAAAATCACCATTTTCAATGGGAAAATCCACTATAAATGGTCATGTTCAATAGCTATGTTAAATTACCAGAGGGTAACCCAATAGTTTCGTTGAACCAAATAGATGTGTTTTGTTTCTTCATATCTTTCCGCTTTCGGAGAATGGCACTCCGTCAGCCAGGATGAGCTGTCCGCGGATCTGGTGCAATGTCTGAAAGATAGCGAGGACGCAACGCGTTTCGTAAGTAACACCACCTCAATCAGTTTCGTTTCATGTTTGGTTTCATGATTCATGAGTCATGTCGTGTTGGTTTAAACATTGATGATTATTGATGATTATTGATGGATATTGACAATAAGTTGATTGATTAAATGACTATTGATGATTATATATAGGATATCCCTTCATTGACGATTATCGTCATTGCAAGCTATTGATGGTTATTGTTGATTATTGATGATGATGAATTATTATTATTATCATTTTTATTGGTAGTATTATCACTATGTAGTCACTATATTTGATATTACATGATAATTATAGATATTATCACTATATTTTATATGATATTATCACTATATAGTCACTATATTGTCACTATATAGTACTACTATTGATTCCACCTGATTTATTCATGTGTCACGTCCTTTCTTCAGAGAGATCCCCCTGCCAGGATCCCTTCGTGCGAGACCTCTTCGAGCAACTGGATCGGGTCTTCGGCGTCAGTTCCTCGTTGGGATAAGCTGGTGATAAGTTAGTGCAAGACACAATATATTATTCATCTTTACATATATATATATATGACATTGTATATATATATATATAGTATGTCGTGTTTATATTATGGTTGTTAATCATGGTTGCTTTCTTATTTCTGACATGTTTTCTTGCACATTGATCATCCACGTGAGATTCATGTCACATTTCCAAGCTGGATTCCCAGGCGGCGCCGGCGCCAGCGCACCTGAAGGACGCAAAAGCCTCGGCGGCTCAAGCCGTGTCTTGAAGGCCCCGGGCCCCGGGCCCCGGGCCCCGGGCCCCGGAGTTGAAAACAGTGGGACAACTCACCGATTTTGGATATTTTGCCTTGGAAAACCGAACTGTTTAGGATGACCCCCACGGTTCTGGGTGGTAATGGGTTTGTTTGAGAATATCAGGGGAAAAAAAACAAATCCAAAAATGCCATGGGCATTCCCCCCACTTTTGAACTAACCCAAGTCATATAGGTTTCTTTTCAAGCAAACTTGAATATGAATATTTGGGATGTTCACCAATGACATGTTCAGAATTGGGTGGTTCGAGCACCACTGCAGTAAAAAAAACCTTCAAATATCGTCGAAACATGTAATAGAATACCGTAGCATATAGCATACATTACTTCAGTAGGTTCGACTTTGTTTTGGGATGATCAATTTTTGCTTGGCTGATGATTGATGTCAGTGGCAAGGAATCTCAAAGTTCGGGGTGAATCCTCCTGGGTTTCTCTAGTTGTTTGGCATTGAAATGCATGATGTTTATGGTTCAGTCAATGGATGATGAGTTGAAGGGTTTCTTTACTGGACACCGGACACCTCCGGACACCTTTCTTTTCGCAACATTTTTGTAAAGGTTTTTCCTACGCATCCCTTCAAGCCATTCTGGGAATATGATGGAATATGTACCATGATCAGAGTCTCAGAGTCCTCAAAATGTTGAGCGACCCAAGAATGAATCGTTAGATCAAATCATGAATATAGATCATTATAGATCCAACATGATCCAACATACCAAATGAATAAAAAAAATGAGGATTGTGTTTGTAATAAATATAATCCCGGGTTCCCTATCTTTCTCTCAATGCTACCAATAAGAACGCAGCATTTGTATATTGGGAGTTGCCTGTGATTCCCATCAATGCAACCCTGGCAACGCAGGCCCAGCGTTACTCCGTCTCTGGCGAATTCCGACAACAGCTGAAGGACATCCTCACCTGCTATGATCAAAGAAAGCAACACGTCTTTTTTCGCGAAGAATGACAGGATTTTTAAATTGGGTTGAAGTATAATTCTGAAGTTCCAAAGGGATCTACTTATCCAATTTTTGGGTTCCCTTCTTGTACAAGTTACGTGTTTGATGGTTTTTGGGGGTTGCAACAAAAATGGATCTGAAAAAACGTCTAATTCGGGCTGAAAAATGCTGTGGTGATATGACCAGCTTCCGACCCATCCCCCAGGAGCCATGTGACTGGAGAATCATCCCGGTAGTCTTTACCAAGCTGAATAAGTTCCTCCTATCCCATGGATTTGGCTTAGGACTATGGTTTTATTAGAAGTTAACAAGACTGGTTCAGAGATAACCCCATTTCTTGGGGGGTTATCACAGTTATCCCATCTATATCCCATGACGGATCCATGGTGCTGCTATATATGGTGTGCCATGGATCCCATCAAGAAAAAAACCCTTTATGTTAGCATTTTTCTACCAGCACCATGGATCCTAGGGGTATTTGCCTTGGAACTATGGTTATCCACTGACACTTTATGGGATGATCCTCCACGTTCAGAGCAGGAATTGCTTCAGCAGATTCAGAGCACGGAACCTCACTTCATTCGCAGCCTGCCGTATTGACAAAAGCCCCGGTCGTCTTTTTTTTTGGGTCCAAAAAAGGTCCCAACATGAGAATGGCTCAAAATGTCACTCTATCCCTTCTGGAAAAAAGGGAATGAAACATGCTTGTGTTGGTCATTCTTGAATTATCAATCCATGTTGTTTGGGGTACCCCCGTATCTGACATTGCATTGTTGGATTTGTGTTGGCCAATGACACACAGGGAGCGGTCCCCCCACTTGTAAGTTGGTTTATAACGGCATCTATATAATATTAGATATATATATATATTACATATATATTTATATATATATATATGATATATGAGATATGTATATAATTATATATATACGTAGATAGATGAACACATATCCACCATAAATCCTAGCTAGCCCAGTTATAAACGAACTTACCCATTGATTTGTGGCCCTCTCCTGCAGCTCAGCGTTGGTCCGTGCACTGCACCGAGGATGCATCAAGCCTAATCCACAGAACCAGGCAGGGATCACATGGAACTCAACCGTGAAGCTAAAGAAAAAAATGGAAAATGTTCTGTTGCTGGCTTTAGGACTTCAAGTTGGTACAAGGGAAAGGTTACCTCTTTATGTGTGTGTGTGTGTTTTTTCCCGATTTCTACTGAAGGATGATGATTTTCAACTTTCAACCAGGCCATATTTCTATTCAGTTGAAATCATGGAGCAGTGGACGACTAGATCTGCAGTTGTCTTGTTTTTCGTTGGAGGAACTTTGGATAGCTCTGGGATTTTGAAGAGTTCATTGCTTCACGGAATGACCTTGTTTTACCCTCTGGTAAACAAACATAGCTATTGAAAATGGCCATTTACCAATTAAACATGGTGATTTTCCATAGTTATGTTAGTTTACCAGAGGGTAATGTTTCTTTCTTTTTGTTGGAAACGGTCTTTCTACACAAAATTTTACAGGATCCCAAACACCAAATCCAAACTAACACCAGATATAGCCATTGACGTTTAGGTTACCCAGGGGGGGGGGTCCGGTTCCCCAAAATACACTGGTTTGTACACTTGTTCGTCATCAGTGACATCAGTTTCAAATTGCACTTGTAATTTTGTTTTGAGCTTTATTCGGACAAACCCAGCATCATATTGCCACTTTCATCTCCAATTATATCACCATTACACTCCATTCTAAATCACCATTTTTACGAATGAAATCAATCACAACCATGACATTAAATCACCAAATTCATCCATGTTATCCCAAGTTGTGACAAGTTGTTACGAGTGAAATCCCAAGGAAAGCCCCATGGTTCCCCTTTGGTTCCCCGTGATCGTTATCGAATCCGCAGGCCTTCTTGCCAGACTCAGAGAAGCCCTTCTTGCATCGTCCGTCTGTGGCGGAGCAACTGAGCGTCTTGCTACGACTTTTGGGTGGGTCGTGGACTGCAAAATGGATGGATTAAATGGGAAAAGTTATGGGTTTGATTGAAAAATGGTCATGGTTTATCATCATGAATTCCCCATGATAAACTATACCCTCTGGTTATTTAACAGTTCGCCATGGAAAGACCCACCATTTTTAATAGGTAAACCATCTATAAAATGGGCCATGGCTTCCAGGGCTATGTTAAAGAACTAGAGGGTAAATGGGAAAAGTTATTCTACAGAAGCCCTGAAGCCATTGGTTTTAATTGAAATTCTCAGTCCATAAATGGTGTGACTCACTGACTTAGAACTGGTACAGGGCCATAACTCTACAATGGGGAAATTCACCATTCTATCTGGGCACATTACAACGACTTCACTGCGACCGAACCCTGGAATCATGCTTATAGATTGCGGGTAATCATCCCAAAATGGCCCAACAATTCAGGTTAGTGAAATATATATAAATATAGAGGCATTCCATAGGGGATTTCATGAGGTTTAATATCATATGTAACAGATATATATATATATATATTACTCATCATTACTCACAATTTGACTGGTTGGTGGTTTGGAACATGAATTTTATTGTTCCATTCAGTTGGGAATGCCATCATCCCAACTGACGAAGTTATATTTTTCAGAGGGGTAGGTCAACCACCAACCAGATGATGTTTAGGTGTGTCTGACAATGCAGCAGTTATCCCCAAGATATGGTCATTAAACAAATGTGAAACTGATGATGAAGCAGTCGATTTAGCAAAGCCATATAGATTGAACCAATGGGCTAAGCAGCAAACACACGGGTAGATAGCATTGCATTGGGAATGGTTTATGCAACGCATTTCTAGTAATTAGAACTGAGGATGGTTTATCACTATTAAATCCACCAGATAATCAGGATATTAACCATCATTTTTCCATATTTTCAACTGTTAAACCATATTTTCCCAGGGAAAAAGTCCCAAAATAATTCTCCATCCTTTTCCCAGATCGGATATATTTTTTGGCCTTACCACATTGAAAAAGTGGCAGTGTGATCAGCCAGATCAGCCTCGACAGTTTCCTCGCAGGTTGTGATCAACGAGAGTTAAACATGTCACAAGACCATTGTGATTCCTTCCAGTGATATACGGTAGTAACATTCTTCAGATATAGTAGCATGTCATGTTGAGATATAGTAGGCGACAATTTTGTAACTAATCTTACTTGAGGAAAATATAGTGAGTGAGATATAGTAACATTCTGCGATTTGCCGGGTCAACACCACCCCTGATGGCGAGGCCGCATGCTCCCGTTGGTTTTTCACAACCCAAGTGAGTTGGCAGAGCAAATCGAATGCTGCCATATGTTTTTCCGGTTTACAACATATACAGCTGTTATTTTTGTTAATAGGGATGGTCTATGGTTGGTGTTAGCTCCCCAGTTGAGCCCTCTAACACTGGCTTCGAGGCTATCAGGGTGTGCTTGCAGCAATCAAGGTACATGTTGTCCGGCGGCGTATGGGTTTGAACAGTCGGGTATACAGGGGGGAAAAAGCATATGATTTTAGTATACCCTCTGGGAATTTAACATAGCTATTGTAAATGGCCATAGAAATAGTGGATTTACCCATTAAACATGGTGATTTTCCATAGTCATGTTAGTTTACCAGAGGGTATAGTTCAAAAATCATGGGGAATTCATGATGATAAACCATTTTTCCATGTTTCAATCAAACCCTCATAGGTCAGACTTTGTGGCGATGGCAACAGGTGTCCCCTACATATTCGACAGGCCATGGCAGTTGCCTGGTGAATATTGTAAAGTCTAAGAAAAGGAGGATATGAAAGGGAAAATCCATGGACAAGTCCCACAACAATCCATGAAAAATCCATGAAAATCCAAACACTATCTTTTTTTTACATAGAAATATATCCAAACATTCTTTGTTTTTTTTTTGTGGCACAGTACCTCCAACGTTCCGGCATGTGGAGTTTCCGATGAAAAAAATGGGCAGCCCTTGATTCGGTACCTCTGGGATGCACATGGGGCGCTAATGCGTGATCCGTAAAATCATGAACTATCCTCAACATAGATAATATAGATAATTGGGATAGTTATAGTTAAATAATGAATATTTTATATCCATATAATGATTTAGATCCATATAATTGGGATATCATGAACATTCATGAACTATCCATAAAATATAGATAACTATCCCAATTATAGAATTGAACCATTATTATTCTATCAATAACATTCAATAACAAACCATGTAATTTGGGGGGCCATTATAGATATCCCAATTGGAATTGGAAGTACATACAATAAACATCAATAAACTGATACACCACAAATGGATCAAATGGAAGGGGGCCTATAGCATAGAGCTTTCCAGCTATCTTGCACCCACTGCACTGGGTGCAGGTGGCCCGCGCGGGTTTCCCGGTGCGCTTCTGGCATAGCGACTTCTTGCGTCACTGGGTGTCGAAAATCTTTCAACCTCGACTTCTCGGCCTATACTTGGGGGTGCGGGCTCCACTTAGTAAATGGGTTCTACCGAGCTATACCCCAGTTAGATTCATGGAATATTCAATATTCCCACTTATATATGGGATGAAATATTGGTTTTTATATGGATTATGAATAATGTAATTACTATATAAGTGGGATGCACATCAAAGTAGGTCTGGAAATTGAGATGCTCCAAGTATGGATTTCTATGAGAGTTTAAACAGAAAGAGTATTCCTTTTTATCATGTTATGACATGTTATGACTAGAGATATACTCATTTTTTACAGGGCAGTTGCGTTCCTTTTTTGTGGAGCAATGAATTATGATGAAAAAAACTGCAAACAACAAATTGTTCTTCGAGACAGTGACCCTGAGAATGTGGACCCAGCATATATAGGTCCCGGGGTCCCAAAAACAACACTTAAAACAAAACTTACATCATTCTGTGTGTGTGTGTGATTGTGATATTGTGTGTGTATCCCAACTAATGTGGTTGAAACAATAATAAACCACCCATGACTGAGAATGGTTTATGGCATTGTTTGAACCACATCAATATAAATCAAGATAAATCAAGAGAAATCAATGAATAACTGATTGGTGGTTTGGAACATTTTTTATGTTTCCATATATTCGGAATAATCATCCCAGCTGACTTTAATATTTTTCAGAGGGGTAGGTATACCACCAACCAGATAATATTGATTACATATATTACCAATCATATTATCATAGTTCATCCCTTCTCCAGCAACGTTTTTCCAGAGCCTAGCGTAACCACAAGGTGAGTTCCGATGCTTGGCGCCAGAGCTGTCGAAGGACCTGGAGGCCTGAAGTTTCCTCCTCTTTCCAGGGATGGTTTATGGAAAAATTGTATTTTGTGTGGGAAGATCATCCAGATCAGTCCAGTGGGTGGTCTTTTTTTGGGACTGATCATGGGATTTATGTACTGATCATGGGATTTAATTCCCAGATATAGATGATCATGGGAAATTTTTGGGAAGATCTGGGACTAGAATGGGAATTAAAGTAGCGAAGATGGGAATGTCACGGGAATATCATTGGATTCATGTAGGCCAATATGGGAATACAATGAGGGTTTCCTCCAAATGGGGATCCCCAAGTCACTATAGGTTTCTGACTTGGATGATTTGGAGGTACCCTCATGACGTAGTAAACATCCATTTCATGAAATGGTTTGTCAGTTTGGCTAAGAAGGGGATTCCCCGTTGATAGATTGGAGAGTGAAAATCTATGATCATATCCAATATATACATATATAATCATATATATATAATCATATATATATATATACTAGATATTGGTTTTACAATGTTTTACATGGCTTTAGCACATTGAGTTGCGAGCGTTGCGAGCAGATGAACCTGCGTCGCCCAGTTGGATTTCTTCGGTCGACTCCGAACCATTGGACCCACAGGATCTCCACTGTGAAAAATCCATCGATGACATCCCCATGTTTAAAGCTCGAAAATGATATGCCATACCATAAACTAATGGTTTAATGGGATTTAATGGGATTTAATGGGATCTAATGGGATCTAATGGGATTTTATAGGATCTACCCTCTGGTAAACGTTTACATAACTATGGAAAGATCCACCATTTTCAATGGGTAATTCCACTATTTCTATGGCCATGTTCAATAGCTATGTTAAATTCCCAGAGGGTATGTCCATTTTTTGTTGTATCTTCCCATTATTTCATGAACACTCCCATGAATATCAGCATTGTCTTCCAACGATTCTTGTTTTTCAAACCTTGTATATGCCTTGGATCATGAAATATCCATTCATATATCCACTAATATATTCACTATATCCATTATATCCATTATATAATAAAACAATATCTCCTGTCACCTTCAGCATTTTGCCACACCAGGCCATAGTGAAGCAATTGGCTCAACAGGAGGATGAGGTGCGAAGTGCGCGAACGTTGAGCCATCAACAAATGGTGTTTTTGATATAATTATATATATATGATAAATATATACATATATATATGATAAATATATACATATATATATATGATAAATATATACATATATATATATATACATGGAGTTATACTCCCGGGTGAAATTTGGGGATTATAAGATATGTTTTCAGCCATAGGCCATAGGCCAATGAAACCAATGAAGCCTTTACAAAAGGGAGCTTCACACAAAATCCATGTCGAAACCCCGTGGGTTGGTGAAAAATTGGTCCTTGATGAGTAGCAACCAGACCATGGTAGATAGGGCTTGGAAGATGAGTGAGTTGCCACTGAACCAGAGGGTGATTTTCAGGGTCAACAAGTCAATTTACCAGAGGGTATATTATGTATACATATGTATACATATGTATATATATATATCAATTTATGGTTAACAGTGAGTTAACCGATTCTTAAGAACAACATGGTGCATGTGAATTGTACTGTTTCATTCTGATATATATATATATATATCGATCCAACAGTATGGTTGGTTGCATCGCAGCATGTATCTACATATTATGTGGCTGTAATTCAGATCTACTTCTTTTGGTGTGTTGCATTTGATTGATCATCACTTCTACTGCAACCCCGCAAGTGAGGTTTTGAACATAGCCTTGTTGATTGGTTTTGATCGGAACTTATACTACCTGGATTGGTGAGAATTATGTAGAATTATTATAAGCCATAGAAGAGAAAACTATCCAGGTTAAGATGGTTATTATAGTGATTCCCAATCATGCTTATAATGAATTATAATTGTTATCATAATTCCAATCATGCTTATAGTCTGGCATTATGTTATAACATGTTATAATGCTTATCATTGTTACATGTTTAAAAAATACACCTGTTGGATTCCTATTGGTTATTGTAAGCAACTAGTCATGGTCATGGCAGTTTTTTTTCGTGCCGTGCCAGGAAAAAGCAGCAAGAGCTGTCAAGAGCCTTCTGAAAAGCGGGGCCATTGCCGTGACTCGGCGCCGAGCTTCCGAAGTTCGGAAGTGGCCGAAGGAATCCGAAGGACGCGCCCATTGGAGGTTACCCTCTGGTTATTTAACATAGCCATGGAAAATGGCCCATTTATAGATGGTTTACCTGTTAAAACCTCCATTTATAAGGGATTTTCTATGGCTATGTTAAATAACCAGATGGTAACTTCTACGAGAATATGGCGTTTTGTGGGTTCACTCGCATCCCATCATCCATGATATCCATGGATTTGAGAGACAAACTATAGAGTTGTTTTTTGTTTTTTTTGTTTTTGTGTGTTTGGCCAGTGGAATGAAAACACGCACACACACATCCATTTTTGTGCTGATGAAGGGCATCCACAGGCTTGAACAACTGGTATCGACTTGATACTCCGTTGTTTCTGTCCCTCAAGAACTTCATGTTCCAAACACCACTTCCATATGTTTTTCATTGTTCATATGTTTATATAATTGGTATATGGTGTGTGATATGTGCATATGGTTTTCATGGTTTTTATCATCTACCCTCTGGTTATTTCACATAGCCATGGACAGCTCCACCATTTTTAATAGGTAAACCCAGGTAAACCATCTATTTCTATGGGCCATCTATACCATTTTAACCATCTATGGGCCATCTATGGTAACATGTCATAACCAGAGGGTAACTCTGGAAAATCACCATTTTTAATGGAAAAGCCGGGTGATTTTCCATCCGAGTCTCCCATGGGTCATCCCGTAGTCGAGTCCAGCCTCGGCTGAGGCCGTTCTGACTTCGGGCTGGGCCTTTGGAAAGACGCGCATTTTCCTGAAACAGGACGAGTTTCGCCATGGAAAACTCGGCAAAGCCATGGGATTTTCTGGAGTTTCTCTGAAAAATGCTGGGAAAGGCATGGAAAACCATGGGAAAACCATGGTTTTACCCCGATTTGTTTGTTTAAACACTTCATGGTCACAGTACAATGTATTTTAAGGATGAATGTTTTACTTCAACTGTCAAATCGGTCAAGATGTCCACAATGATCCATGATCTATCGTATGAAATGCCTACATTGTACTGCATCTAGGATGCATAGGAATACATAAGTAATGTTAAGTACATACAGATAGTCAGATAGATCGATAGAAAGAAAACCAATAATGCCATGCACAAATTAGGGTCGTCCCCTATCGGTTATGAATGTCTTTGGTGCAAACCCAGAAAGGCCACGGCGAAGCAAGACTAAATTAGTATTACAATAATTACAAGCATTTTGTCGGTTACTCATATATATATATATGATATAGTATATAATATACATATATATAATATGATATAGTATATATATATAATATTACATATATATATATATATGTATATATATGTATGTATATATATATATATATGTATGTATATATATATATATATATAGATGATACTTTATAGTTCCAGACGTCTCCAGAGCGTCATGTCGCATCCATGCAGCTTTTCCCGTACCGACCCTGCGCCGGGAGGAGCCCTACGAGTCCCTGCGCCGCCTCCGGGCCGTGACCCGCAACGGGGCCGCCAAGCGGCTCCAGAGCTGCGCCCGGGGGCAGATGGCCCGGAAGGCGCAGAGCCCATGGGGGGATGGCAGGGGCGGAGATGTTGCAGATGAAACATTCAACAATCCAATATCCATTAGGAAAATCAATGGATTATAGAAAAATTACCATATCAATGGATTATAGGAAATGGATTATAGTAAACTATAATAATATATACCATATCAATGGATTATAGGAAAATTCATGGATAGTGGTATATTATGGAAAATACATGATATATACATGATATGATATGTAGTGTTTATTCAATGGATAACCATGTTCCATGGTTTAAGGGAAAAATTACAGGAAAGCCTCATATTTAATGGGAAAATCGGTGGTTTCCGGTTAAGATTTGTCCTTAAACCAATCCATAAAAACATGGGATTACTTGGAATGATGAATGACGAATTTCTATCTATTAATCATACTTGATCAAGATCTCGGGTATCCGGTATCCCACCATAATTGCTAATATCTAACCATTAATTGATTGTGATTCCCATGATGATTAATTACTATGAATGTCTATTCATGTGATTAATCACATGACAATCACAAACCACTATGATTAAGAATCGTAATTGATTAGTGGTTACAAATTTCTGATGTAATGTGATGGAATACTGGGTTTATAGAAAACACTATAATCATAGGAATATTATTAATGGTTATTTTATATATATACACAAGTTACATGAAAAATATATTGCAACATTTTGCAATGCAATCGCCCACCCAGTGGTTTCAGCAAAAAATAGACCATCTACCACCGAAACATGGGGAGCTTGACCAACAAGAAAGGATTCAATTTCACCACATCAGGGTTGCTCCAACACATCAGGGTAAGTGATAGCAACGTCATCACTGACCTCAACTGTTGGCTACTTCAGCCGTTGTTTTCTCCGAAGTTTTTCCCGGCCTCATTGGTGATAAAACTCGACTTTGGATGTGATGGATGTACATTTATAATCAGTTATACAATGTTATACATATATAATTATATATACACATTATTATTGATGTCCCTATTATATATATATACATACACATACATACATATACTATACATTCAACCAACAACAAAAAGATGACATGTGGGGTCATAATTAGCTTCTTGGCGGTTTCAAATATGTTTGTCTCCATCCGAACAAATGAGAGGATGATTTCCGCTGACTGATATTTTTTCCAAGCAGGGTGATAGCACCAATCAGTACATCCCTTTTGGCGCGCAGGGAAGTCACTTGAGATCACTTTTTTGCCCCAAAAAATACACAAAGATGGAACGAAATGGTTCAAATTCCGATGTGTTTTCTTTAGACCTGATTCCCTGTTGTAGCTCCTTTTTTTAAGGTGCAAATCACTAAGAAAACATCACAATTTATTGTGTTTCATAGCCCAGCCTGTTGAGGTGCTAGTTTGAAGCCCATTTCGCCCAGTGTTCAACTTCGTGGAGAGGTCGTTACAAATCCTCAGGCAGGATATGCGAATAACTTTCAAAAAGATGTCAAAAAGATCTATAAATGAAGGAAACAACAATACCCTTAAAACAAAAAAGAACACAGTTGTTTTTTTTGCAACATATATATATATAACATATTCCACATTTTATCTCAAGACATCTTAAGACTAGCCATGTGATATATGTCACCCCCCAAGACTAGCCATGCAGATCCGAGGCTTATCACACCATGCGTTGGGGGTTCCTCCGGCTACAAGCGCGCGCACGTGGCTTGCTGGCGCGCAACCAGTTGCGAAGCTGGTTGAGAGCCAAGGCACACAGTTTGCCGTGGTTGGATCCCACCAAGAAATGGGAACATCATGGGAACATCATGGGAAAATATATGGAAAATATATATGAAAATATGGAAGATCCCATAAATGGAGATTTCTAGTTGGGAAACTCATCGGACTGAATGTAGGATGCTGTTTGGAAGCCATGGTTGATCGCCAGAAGGCAATGCCTTGGTTTGTAGAAAATACCTTGGGTTTTATGATAGGTTTACCTGTTGGATGGGTGAAAATAAGCCAACTTATACCTAAAGCGGAGCTCTTTGTATCTATATGGTCTATATTAGGTATCTTTTGCGTGTGTGTATTACATAAAGGCCTCAGGACGCATCCAACAAAAGGATTCCAAGGTCCCAACTTGTGGAACCTACCCATGTGCTTTGAAGGTCCAAGTGTCAATGGCCATAACTCAGGATCCGATTCATTGGAGGTACCAATCCCATATATTTCAGGCCTATTTTTCAGGCCTAAATTTCAGGGAATATCCCCACAATTCATATGGCCAAACATATGGTTACGGTACTAACGTACCTCCAATCTGTTGGATCCTGGAGATCTCCCATTGAAAGTGTAGGTCTCATGTACCCATAGCTCCACCTTTTTCACCAAATTCAGGGTAAAACTGGCTATCCATTAATGGTTCATAATGGTGATTAATGGTTAATGGGTTAGTAATGGTGATTATATAATTTGTCATCATAAATCCTTATTGATATCATCTACAATACATAAATCTGGGTAAATGTCATCACGACCTCACGTCGCGACCGAAATATCTGGAATCATGTTTTTTTTTTTTAAGAGGAATCCTCCCCTTTTATGGCCTTAATTCAGGTTAGTGAAATATTATAATTCACCCAGATCCATGACTGGGAATGGTGGAAAACTATACCACCTTTTTGAAATCGCTGATGATTGGGGGATGGCGCAAATGACATTGTTTTACCCACATGAATTGTGCACCTCCGCCAGCAGCGTGGGCCTATCCAAAACCTTGGGGAACAAATCACAGCACTCACCAGGGCCCAAAAACATGTGGCTGATGAAGCCATGTTTTCCTGAGGATGGTCATTTTAACCCCAGAAATTCGATAACTTAGAGATCTTCCTGGAAAAATCCTGGTGGAACACTAAAACTGCAAGTGGTTTTTCCCATCCCATGTTCCCATAGAAGATTTATAGTCACCCCAAACAGATAAAGACGTGATTTATCACTGTCTTATAAAGTAGAATTTGACTGTCATATATGGTTTTTGCGCGGTGCAAGATAGGATTTCCGTAGATCTCTTTTTGTGTTCTTTGTCCATGTCCAGAACTTGTTCAATATCCACCATGATTCACCACGAATTTCACCACGAGTTTTCTGTTCGATTCTTAGCAAACAGAGAATCCACCATATTTTTTACCACATGTTCACATATCCATCAAAAATCCTAAGATGTTCCACTAAAAAAAACAGAGATGGTCCAAGGACGCCACCAGATTTCACCAGCAAGGCAGCGACCCAGCTGAGTGCGCTGCTGCGGACCACAGAGGCACTGGCGCGCTATGGCGCCCAGCGAAGAGTGGCAGTGGCGCTGCAGTGCAGGATGCGACAGAAATGGCAGAGGAAGAAATATCTGGTGACTTGGCAGTTGGGTGAGGTTATGTGAGGTTATGTCGTTATAATCTTATAGAAGATTACATACTTTATGTTCATTCTTTATTCATGAGTCTTACATTACTCGATTCATCTTTATTCATCTTTGTTCACCTTTGTTCATCTTTATTCATCTTTATTCATCTTTGTTCATCTTTGTTCATCAATGAGTCAGGCTTCAAACCAATTTTTGCCACTGAAAATCCAAGCTTCTGCGCCAACGGGTGATGTCTGCCGAACATTCCTCAGATCCAGCGGAGTCAGCTGCTGCAGCTGCAACGCTGGTGGCGTTCTGTGCAGAAGCGCCGCCGCTTCGGGCGGCTTCAGCGCCTGGGGCGAGGGCGAACCAATGGAGGTTCTAATGATGGGAAAATCAGCTATTAATAGTACTGATAGGAATAACAATTGTAATGATTGTAATGATGGTTGTAATAAATGATGGTTGTACTGATTGTCAATTACAAAGACTTCGCTGCGACCGAAGCCTGGAATCATGGTTTATACATGTATGTGGGGGATCATCGCAATATTTGGCTTATTTCAGGTTAGTGAATTATTCAAATTTGCCCAGCAGAATTGGAGGAAATTACGACTTGGTAATTTCCACAGTTTCCAACAACGTGTTTTTTCAATCATACCAGATGACTGGTTAAGATGACTTTTGCATATTTTTAGGATGGGCTAGATCCACCAACCAAGGGAAAGATGATGGTTTCAACGTCTTTTTTTTTCAGGAATTCACCATGAAACGTATGGTGGTTTCCTGAAATAGGGCTCCCCCCAAATCATGCATTTTAATGGGCATTTCTTTTAGAAAATCCATCTTAAACAAATTATTGTTCCATCTATTTTGGAGTTTTTCCCCCCATTTATAGAAAGCCCCATTTATAGATGGTTCAGCAACAAAACATGGGAAGCAGGGCTTGATTCATCCCATTCGGATCAAGTCTTTGGACTAAAAGGATGCATCTCCCTGAGGCAATCGATTGCCCAAGTTTTCACCATGAGTCATACAGGGGTCTATGAGGCTATGAGTTGTATGGGAACTATATGGGAATTATATGGGATATGGATATGGATCATTGATTGATATGAATGCGACATGCGGATCGTTGCTTGTTTAAACGGGATCGGCTATCAAAAATTGGTGAATTGATTTGAATTGTCTCTACTACCCAGAAGTAGTTTATCCAATAGTGTTTGCTCATAATTCAACATCTAAAGATCTAATTTTGCACAGGGTATTTACGATTGGCCATGATAGCCTGCAGGCCTGGCTTAGAGATTTTTGGAGATCTTTAGAGTCTAGATGTGTTTTTTCATTGCAAGAATCCACCAGAATTATATATATATATATATTGATTAACCGACCATGTTTCTTCGTGAAATCTACATGTTTGTTGCTCAAATCTGAATTGTGAGGAATGACATCTACCTGTTTATGATGTTACATTTCTTCTGTTTGTGCTAAAATAGACAGCAAACAGTTTTCCACAGTTTTCCAAATAATACAAACACACATCTTAAGCATTGTTAAACCGCTATATTTGGAAACCAGTGGAAAACTGATGCTTAGCAATGGCGAATTTCTGGTTCAACATCGAAAAACCTGTTAAATTATAATTCAACCATCTATTCATGGTATTTTCCACTGTTTTCCACTGTTTTCCACTGTTTTCCACTGTTTTCCACTGTTCAACCGCTCTAAACCATGGCGAAAAACCACAATTTTTCACGTCCCCCGAGGCACTCCGTGCGTCGCCTACAGGCGCTGTGCCGGGGGGCGCTGGGCCGTCGCGCCGCAGGGGTGCGAAAGGTGCAGCGGCAACGGCTGCGCTGGGCGCTGCGACGTGACGCGGGTTGCGAAATCCGTGATTTTACCGTGGGATTGATGGAGATTTGATGGATTTTGGATGGATTGCTGCTGGTTTATGAATGTTTATGATATTTAAAATTAGATTTAGCGCATGATGAAGTTTTTATGTTATATCATAGGATTTTGTTGCATCAATGATAGAGATTGGGTGGATTTTTGATGGATTCTTGAGGGTTTGTGATAAATTAGGACTGCATCAAGTGATTTTATGGGATAGAATGGGATCTTAAGATATCTTAAGCATCAAATATAGTTTCGACTGTAGATTTTATGGATTTTTGATATTTCAATTGATGGGAATTTGTGGGATTTCACTGTTTATAGCAACCCCCAAAAGGATGCGGAAACGTGTGTTTCACCAGGACGTAGTTCGATGGTTCGATGTCCAGTTTTTCGTATATTTTCTTATTTGGGAACTGCTATAATATGGTATAACCAATGTAACCATCGGATTTATAGGCATGCTAATAAAGGTATATTAAGGTGATATTTTTATAATGTCGTAGAGCCATTCATGCGGTAAATCAGCCCAATTGCAGAAGTAAACCCGACATATCCCAAAATTATAAAGCCCACTTGGGGCTGGTTTATAATTTGGTTTACCGCATTGATGGGATGTTTACCGCATAATTTGGTCTACCAATAGCTGGGTGAATATTTAATATAATATGGGTAATTATAGTTGTCCATAGTGGAATTTCACCAACCAAGTGGTGGTTTAATCATGGACAACAATGGTTTAACCATCAAACATAGGGACTTCATGGGACAAAATGGGATGTCACTGTCCTGACAAATATAGAGATGTTTACCCTCTGGTAAACTAACAGTTTGCTATGGAACATGACTATAGAAATAGTTGATTTAGCCATCAAAAAATGGTGGGATCTTTCCATATTTTTTTTGGATTGCCAGAGGATACCAACAGTTGTTTGAGTTGAGGGCCCATCTTGTTTCGAGGCCTGATCCGGACGCGGCGCAAGAACTTGGCACTGCGCGCCTTTCGCGTGAAGATGTTGGAGACCGGGGCAAGAAACGCGAAACGTCTTTGGGTAGTTGGGGGCGGAAACTGCCAGGAAATGTTGCAAAAGATGTGAAACATCCGGAGGAAAACCCTGGCCTCATTAAACGAAAAGATGTGGAAAACCAATGAAAGCCTAGGAAAATGATGTACAAAGTCGCAGGGTAAAACAGAAAGTTTGGAGGAATATGAATTGAATAGTTGATGTGGCACGAATCTGGTTTTGAATTTAAAGATTTTAAAAGAACTTGAAAAATAAGATGGATATTAGATGGATAACTAGATTACAACTTAAAACTATATAAGATTGATGTAATACCTCGTTTTGTTGGAATATTGATTCTTACTATACTTCATTATTTACGTACAGAATATGTGGAGATGGAAATGATTATGGTGTCCTGGCATGTGATCAGGTTTTGCAGTTGTCCTGCTGGTGACATCAGCTTGTTGGCTATATCACCATTTATCCTGATTTCCCTCATTTAACATCATGAGATAATGGGGGTTACACATTGTTAATGTTGGAAAACTATATGATCAACCCCCCATTCAACTATTTATCACCATTATATAACATTGTTGAATCAGTCTTCCGACCCATGTTTGGTGGTTACTTCTTGGTTCAAAATTTGGCTGCGACTCCCCCCATTGCTTCAACTCATCAAGCACCGTAGGAGATGTACCACCGGCCCCCTGTCACCAGCACGTTACAGAAGAACAAGGAGGACGGCGGGGGGTAGCATCCTAGAGAATCCACGGGGCTTGGGTACCCTCTGGTTATGTCAAAATAGCTATTGAAAATGGCCATTTATAGTGAGTTTTCCCACTTAAAATTGTGATTGTGCATAGCTATGTTAGTTTACCAGAGGGTAAATGGTGAAGAATCTGTATCTGTGTCCCTCTCGAAGGAAGAACCTGCCCAACAATTACTCTGGTGAAATGTCTTGGATGCATGAAATGGCCCAGAAGCCGTGGTGGAATGTAGATCTATTCATGAATTGGGTACCATTTGTTGGGGTTTTCTATGGTTTGGAGTATGGATGTGTATGGATTTGTTGCAAACCTGCAGCCTTTCTTGTGCTGAATGTTCCATAATGTTCCATTGTTCCTGAAGGGGTTAGCTTCGGCCAAATGGTTGGGCACGTCCTTGATACCACCCCTACGCGAGTCTATCTCAATTGGAAGGTACATCCCATTTTCTGCAGGCGTTTACAGCACCCCAAATGGATGGTTTATAATGGAAAATCTTACTAAAATGGGATGATTTGGGGTACCCCCCATTTTAGGAAACTTCCATCTAAATACATTGCTGGTTGGTGGTTTGGAACATGTTTTATTTTTCCATATATTGGGAATAATAATCCCAACTGACTAATATTTTTCAGAGGGGTAGGTCAACCACCAACCAGATTGTATATGGTCAATCAATGAGTTTTTTTCGTTGGGGGATTGGGCATTGCCCATGTTGAAAAACCATTTCGGGCAGCAACGCTCCGAGTCATCCGCGGAGCCAGGAGATGGTCAAAGAGGTCTTGTTTCTGCGACAGTGTCTCTGTTGCATGCTCCAAGGTTGGGGATTTACAATGGGGATTTATTATGGCAATATGTATATATATATATATATACCCATAGGATCCATGGTGCTGGTATATATGCTAACATTGGGGGTATATTGATGGTAAATGTTACCATTTATAGCATACATGGATCCTATGGGTATATAATTTGCAACCCCGGTTTGATGTGTTTCTCCTTTGAAACTTCACAGAACCTGACCTTTGAAAACTTGGAAATTGAGGTGTGTGGTTCAACCTCTCCGCTCACATATTGATGGCAAAAAGATGCTAATCCAAGAGCAACCTTCAAGGTCCAAGCTGATGGACCACTATGAGAGCTGGTTTACATGTTCAGCGCTAAGCAAAGGCTGCTTAAACATTGATCAACATTGAATGCCAGATAGTTCAAGCATGTTCAAGCTGTGTCATTGGGCCTTTACGTGTCTCCACTTGTGTACTTCAGGAGTCCTGTCAAAAGTGTCAAAATGCATGTGTCGTTAGTTCTGTCAATAGAACTATACCAAGAAGATCTGTACCAACGAATTAATTGGTGGTCAGCTAACATTATCTGGTTGGTGGTTTCAAACATTTTTTCCATAATATATGGGATAACCCTTCCCATTGACTAATATGTTTCAAGATGGTTAAAGCCACTAACCAGTTATTGGCTGTTATGCTATGTGTGTTTGTGTTTTTTAACTCAGCCAACACATCTTGGTGAGTTACGCTCCCACTATTTTTCACAATCTTATGCAATCTCATTGTATGGGAATGGGTAAGAATCGAGCTACCGTACTAAAAAAATCTTAAAACGGAAATGTGTGGTAGAAACTACTACTAATCAATTGCGGTTCCCAGAATCTACCCACGTTTGGTTTCCCTTTTTGGTGATGTGAACCCCTTAAGACATGGATGTTTATGTTGGATTCCGGGCCCATTTTAAGGAACCCTGACCCATGCGAAAGCCTTGGTTTGGTAGGCGGATAGTTTCAATTCCTGCCAATTTGATGCGGACAATGTTTTATTTCTCTGCTAGACATTTGTTTATATTTGTTTGCTGAGTATCCGAGATTGAACTATGGTAGTGTTTCTTGGTCAAACACCAATTTCTTTATCATTGTTTATCATGGTTTATCATGGTTTATCAATAAAGCGGACACAAACAAAAAGAAAAAAAACGCGATTTCAATGACCATCAGCGCGCCCATGAACTGGTTCAACTGGTTCATCTGCTGCCAGCATCGAGGCTGGGCGAGGAACAGACCCTGGAAATTCAACGTCTCCAGGTGTCTGCGGGGAGATGTGCTTTTTGAACAAATCGAGCAAACATGGTGGCACTTAACCAAGAGAGCTGGGATATCACGAATATTGTATTGGGATATATATATATATATATATATACTATGTAATATAATATATATATATATATATAATTACATATATATATATATATGTTGTAACCAAGAGAACTTAAGAGAACAGGTTGTATAACCAACATAAAATTGGATTTGAGCATTTTCACGCAACGGTTGTGCGTACTATCAAACTACGTTTGTACGGGATGCATGGGCCAAAATTTCAGGGATGTCAAATGAACTTGCCCTTCTTTAGCATTTAACGAAGAGAAGTTGTATATTTTTGCCCAGATGCTTCAGGTATGGTCTATTTACCTACATTTGGGTTATTTTTAGGGCAAATGTTGGTAAATATTCCATACATGGAGCATATGGGTTGCACCACCAAGTGCTAAACTTAGACTTTGGTAAGCTTCCCAGCGCAGGGTATGGCAATTTGTCGAGCAGTTTCGTTGATTTATTCTTCAGCTGATGGTTCATGGGTCACGAAAGTGTTTTTGGAGGGCTACACCACCGAACCCCGTTTTTGAAACCAAAGGACGGTTTTGTTTCTCCGCGCTACAGCCCTTCAAGAAGGGGATTGCCGATATTAACAGCTAAAACCACCAGACCCTCATTAGGAATTCACTGGGTTGAGCGATAGTCATCCATACGCTTGGGTGCAGTACAAGTGGGCAAGTGTCGATTGGAGTGGTTATATCAAGTCATATCCCAAGCTATGATGGTTATTTGTTACAACCCCAACTGCATCCTCAAGTCGTGGGTCTATTTATTCAGATGGTACCCTTTGGTAAACTAACATAACTATGGAACATCACCATTTTTAATGGGAAAACTCACTATAAATGATCATTTTCAATAGCTATGTTAGTTTACCAGAGGGTATTTTGTTATGGTGACAATCCCAGAGTTTCTCCAATTTCTCAGCCAGGTCTCGTAATCCCCAATGCTCCATGGTGCTAGAATATCTAGCAAAACTTACCGCCAAAATGATCCAATGATGGGTAACAATGGCCACTAGAGTGGGAAGCCAGTGAGTTTACCTCCTTACCAAATTCACCAGTAATTGTGTTGTTGGGAGCAACCCTTTTTCACCATAGAGCATATGGGAATCTCACCTTCCCCGATCCAGAACTTGTAGGAAAACAATTCCCAGCTGCGTCAGCAGATTCAGCACCTCAAGTTCCTTGGCGTAGAACGTTTGCTCGGCGGAGGGTGGTGTTATAGTTATATAACCCAGGTACAATTCGGATGATCATTCAACGGTGACTATCCATAGTCGCCTGGGTCGGGTGAAAATCTTAGAGAAGTCGTCAACTGAAAAAACAACAGCTTGACCAATGGGTGAAAATCCAAAACTAAAGTTAACCTGGCAGTCTTTATGAGTATATCAAGGGTCTATGTATGTGTAAGATGTGTTGTTGACGCACAAAAGGGATCAGAGAATATTGAATACCAACTCCAAGGAGTTCGCAGTTGCGGTTGGATGATGATGGATGAAAATCCACAAGATATTGGTAAGGTTCGAATCATAAATGCAATTCTTAGGATGAACTCACCCCAATTGAGGTGATAGTTGACCTTCCGGAGAGGAATTATTAGATTAGGGTAGGATAAGCCATTATATGTGTATATATATATACATATTCATTATATGCATATATATATATATATATATTGATATCATTTGATATCTACCCTCTAGTAATTTAACATAGCCATTGAGAATGGCCCATTCATACTTGATTTACCTATATCAAAGATGGTGATGTCCTATTTTTTGTATGTTTACCAGAGGGTACATTGATAAGTTCATACCTCACGAGCGCTTGAGAAGTTCAAGCGGTGAAAGTTTCTCCGTGAGGCAACGTATCTTTTGGCGCGTGCGTGAGTGCTTCCATCGCCAGTGATGGAGATGACTTTGGTTTCACCGGGATAAGAGTGGTTTTCACTGGTTGGTGCTTTCAAACAGGACTTTTATATCTGCTATAAATCCCTTATAAATGGAGGTTTCGATAGTTATTGCTATAATGTTATTATACATCTGGTTGGTGCTTTCAAAGATGACTGGATTATTTTCCATTTCATATATGGGATAGTCGTTCCCATTGACGAACTCAGAGGGATTGAAACCACCAGTTTGATGATGGAATAGCCAGGATAGCCGGGATAGCTATAACGAGCCACCGCAACGACTCCAGCATCGATATCGGGTGCACCATGCTATACCCCTGGGATCCCGTCAAATCACCCCTGCCGCAGGGATACTGGGATGGGTACAGCCGCAACCCAAAACTGTGGGTATGCCACAATGCCTAGGGACACACTGATGTGCCACATCAAATGACTTCAAAAAAAAAAGAACCACCAACTTCGTATGATTCCCTTGAGGAACGTTTGCTAAGAATCTTTCCACACTAGATAAACGTAGTCCGCACGCATGGCTTTGATTGTCATGGTGTCCACAGTGACTCGTTTTTTTTGTTCCGAAAAACTTGTTGATTTCAAGAAGAGTTGAAATACCCCCAAAACACCAGGAAGGATCACGGAAAAGCGATGGAAGCGATAGATCCGTGCGGAAGTCAAAGACACTTCCCATCTTCCAGTGAGGAATTGGAAGGTTTGCCACGTCCCAATTGAGTACGTCAAACAAATGGATGTCTCAAATATCTAAGCTAGATGACAATTTATATGCAGATACATTGATATAAATGGACATTGACATGTGCTATACCTGCATATATATATATATTTATAATATATTATATAGATACATATATATATATATACTGTATAGATATCACACATTAATTCACTAGTCACTAGCCCCAACATTGATCATAGGGCACAGGGACTCCGACATCCACCTCCCGTCGCCATCGATTTCGAGTGATGAACTTTAGCCGGAAAGGGCCTGGCGGGAAAGTGATGTAGACAAAACATATAAACAGATGCTCCATGTATGGAATATTTACCTACATTTGGGCTATTTTTTGGGGTAAATGTAGGTAAATATTCCATAGTGTTGATGTAGACAAAACATGACTAAACATGGAGGATTTCATGACAGGCCATATTTTTTGTGATGACAAAAATGTCTGGAAATTGACAATAAAAATATGTCATTACAAAAATATTGAATTTGATAATGACAATGTCCTTTACATATTGGAGGACTTTTGTAATGACAAACATGTCGGAATTTGATGCCACAACATTTTTTGGGCTGTGTCATGTTGTGGAAGCATGCACGTTTGTCCAGTTTGAAGCATGATCAATTTCAAACAAGGAAACAAACTATATTGGTTGATTTTGAGGGGCTATACTACCCCTGATATATTGATCAATCACCCACGGGGAATGCCCATTAACGAACCGTTATATAACGAACCGTCAAAAAATAATGACCCCAACCCAGCAACCGCTGGTAGGCGAGCTGCGAGTATATCTCCAAGCCACGTGAGGAATTGTGTTTCACTCGACTCTCAATAAGATATTCATACATCTGATCATCTGCATGAATTATAGTGATCTCACTGTGATTGAATTATGATTAGGGGAATCATCCTCAAGTAGCACGTTATTTGGGGGCTTGACGGATTTGTTTTCAGTAATTACTTGTTTCGGGTCAAAGTATAATGCTTCAGAACCCCTTTTTTTTGGCAGAGTGTGTTGTGTCCAATTTTTTTGGTTTATCCCGATATCTTTCCTGCAGAAAAACATGGTCGTAATTTGAATCCCTGAAATCAACTAGTTCTTTCCATTGGTTGATCCCCTAAATCTCATCTACAGAAAGGTACATATATGGAAAAGCCATGGAAAAGCCATAGGAAAAGCCATGGGAAAACATGTTCGGAAAAGCCATAGGAAAATGGTGGTTTAATGATGGTTTAATGGTGGTTTAATGGTGGTTTAATGGTGGTTTAATGGGATTTAATGGGATTTTATGGGATCTAATGGGATTTAATGGCATATATATAGTGGGATAGCCACTGGTAATGACTAACAGTTTGCAAACTTGAAAATGGCCCAGTCGAAATAGTTGATTTTCATTGATTTTCCCATTAATAGCATGGTGATTTTCCATGGCTAACTGTCAGTCATAACCAGATGGTAAGTCTACAAGAAAGACTAGAAGTCCCAGATAAATTCCACAAAAGTCCCATACAATGTGAGGCCCCCTAGTTATAAGTTGATTTAAAAGCCCCAGTAACTATAGTTATTGGAGTTAAAAACCAACTTAGCTATCTTGGGGGCCTCACATTGTATATTTGATACAATATAATCAATATAATATATTTGGACAAAGAAAATATATAGTGACTTCAGGTCGTGACCGAACCCTGGAATCATGGGAATTGGATTCGGGGAATCATCCCCTTTTATGGCCCAACAATTCAGGTGGGTGAATACTACAATTTACCTAGATTATGAGGATTCAATGGGATATATAACCATAACCCATAGGATCCATGTATGCCATATATGCTAACATTTACCATCAATATACCCCCAATGTTAGCATATATACCATACATGGATCCTATGGGGATTGGATAACTTATCCCAGATATAAACAAAAACTGATCTTGCGAAGATCTTGCGAAAGGCCTGTGGTCTTCCTGCAGAGGTGCCAGGCTTGCGCTGCGGAGGTAGTTTTTTTCCTGCGCAGATTCCTCTGTTGATAGGTCAATGGTACGGATGATGAACATTTGGATCCTAAGTCACGGGGGGTAATTTAACATAGCTATGGAAAATCACCATTTTTAATGGGAAAATCCACTATAAATGGCCATTTTCAATAGCTATGTTAAATTACCAGAGGGTACCCCCAAATCATCCAATCATTAGAATCATTAGACCATACTTTTTCGCTTTGGATTTTTCATAATTAGGGCTTATTGACATGTGTTGCCTTCCCCCAAGATATCCTTGGGACTACATTAAATCATTAGATAAGTTATCATTCAAATGTTACTAACCTTCAATTAACATCATGTAAGTGTAATGATTAGGGGTTATCAACCCCCAAATAAACATGGACCCTGCCGAAAATCGGAGCTTGGAAGATAAGTGAAACCACTAAACATGGGAGGGCGCCACCCACTAGAAGGTATGGAAAATTTACAACAGTGGCTCTCATAGGGAAATCATTGGTAACTATACCAAGAACACTGTTAACTGGCTTACTGGGAATTATTTTAGCCGTATACTGACCAACCAGTATGAGGGGATGGGATAGAGGTTTGCCGGACATGTTGTGGTAGAGAGCAAAATGGGTCATGAAATTTGGCTATGTCAGCTATTTTGATTTTTTCAGATTGTATCCGCATTTTTCTATGTGCCATGATGTGTACAATATATATATATATACATTATATACATCTATGTGTGGTCACCCCTCCCCCTAGAACCTAGCTCTCTCCAATCTGACACGAGCTTCAACTTGTCATGACCTGACCATCTCTCCACAAAAACTCCCCACTTCCAATGCCAACTCCTGATCTGTTTCATCTCCTCTGCAGCAAAAAACGATCACTTCACCAATGCCAAATACACCAATCCCGTGACATTCCCAGCAAAATTCCCATGATGAAATCTCAGTCTCATTACCACTATATCACACTAACACATTGTAAACCCACCTTCCAAGCACCCTCGGGACGTTGCGACCCCTCGTGACCCCTCGCGACCCCTCGCGACCCCTCGTTTCAATTTGAACGAGGGCCCCGACCCCTCGCTCAGAGGGTCGAGGGGTCCGACCCCTCCCAACGAGATCTCGACCCCTCACAGTGAGAGCCCAAAGATGCTTATAGGGTCCATAAAATCTCATTAATTCATATTAATTCCACTAAATCATGGATTAACCATGGTTACCCTCTGGTAATTTAACATAGCTATTGAACATGGCCCATTTATAGTTGATTTACCTATTAAAGATGGTGGATCTTTCCATAGCTATGTGGCTGTTTACCAGAGGGTAACCCCATGATATCCCCCTGGCAGACCTGGAGCATTGCGGCGATGCCTTGCGGCGCCGCATCGCGCTGGCGCGCGCGGCCTACGGCCGCGAGGTGCGTTTTGTTTACGGCCGGCGGTTGGGGTCGAATGGGGAAATCGATGTTCCAAAGATCATGTTGGTAGTTGCAATGTGAGGCCCCCCAGTTATAAGTTGGTTTATAAGCCCCAGTAACTATAGTTATAAGTACCATAAACATCCATAAACCATAGTTATTGGAGTTATAAACCAACTTAGCTGTCGTGGGGGCCTCACATTGTGATATTAATGACAGTTAATGATAACGTTGATAGTGAAGATAAACATATATTCATGATATATGTGTTTTTTGTTGCTAGTGAATGATAGTTAGTGATAGTTAATGTTGATAGGTAATGATATATGTTAATGATTTCTGTGCATCAATATATCCCAATATATCCCAATATATCCCAATATATCCCAGCAACATCTCCAAAATATCTCCGAAAAATATCTCAAGGATCAGATTTCCTTGGAATTCTTCTACATCTTCGTGGTACATTCTGCCTTTCGGCCGCCTACAACGAGGCTCTCGTTTTAATGGACGATCCTTTCGCTGGCTTCAGCAACGAGGAGGTGGATGAACTCTTCGAGGCTGGAGCTCCAGATGTTGGTAGAAATTACCCAATAAGTAAAACCCCAAGGAAAAAAAAAACCATAGGTAACCCATTTATAGATATTTATAGTCCATTTTTTCCCAACATGTTTTTTTCCCAACTTGGGATTTTAATTGTTGATGGTTAATTGTTCTTTAATGACAATAGTACTTGTAGGGTTTGTGGCAATGATAACTAAGTATGCTTTAGGTTTTCCTGTTTTGGATTATCCCCAAACCGACAGTTCGAATCCAGGTTAAATTCCCACCGCGGGAATTTCGGGATTAGCTTAATTCCAATGGGTTTATGGTAGATATACAACTATAGTTACTTGGCATCTCAACCATAAAATGCTAGTAGATTAACCATAGTTAAGTTGCATTTAACTTATAGTAGATATATGGCCTTACAACTATAGTTTGCAGTAACTACACTTCTATACAATAGATATCTATAGTTAAAAGATCAAGCAACTGTATTTAGAAGTTGCCATAAACCCCAGTGATGTGCTACATCTTCCTGTAACTTGCCCCTCGAATCCCCTTGAACTATAAGATAGTTGACCATAAATATACTTAGAATAATACCACAACACTACACATATATATATATAATTATATATATAATTATATATATACACATATGTATATATATATATATACAGTTACTATAAACCATATTTACATTAGTAGCTATATGTAACTATGGTAATTACAATATGTACCATGGATACCTATATTTAAATCATCAAGTAACTATATATATATACATATATATATATATAGCTAAAGTTGCCAAAAAAACAGTTGGTTGCTGCAATTTTGCTTTAACATAGTTATTATTAGTCTACATAGTTACTATAATGTTATCCAACTTAGTCCCTTCAATCCTGCAGGGTTTATGGTAGATAACTTATGTTGCTATAGTTACTTGGCATGTTCCTTAGCCGTTAAACTATAATTAATTCTGATTTTGCCAAGGGACATATATGATTATAGTTCATTGACATGGTATACTAAAGTGAATCTACATTTAACCTATTTATATAACCTTATAACTCCAGTGTATGGAGTTCTACCAGCTTTTATACCCTTATAACTCCAGTTTATAAGCTTGATTACAACCTTATTCAGTCATTGACTGCCAGTCTAACTACAGTTATCACAACTTTAAACTGGTTACAAATAGCCACTGAAGAGAACCACTATCATCAATTTATCACCACTTTGCGTGAACATTTTGTCTCGTTAATGGACCATAACTATCTATGTATATATATATATACATATTTCTACAATATAAATATTGATAGCTATTAGAACATCCATAGTTTGTATACCACAATATATCTGATAGTTCATATATATATATACATATAAGTAGATCTGGCAACTGTATACAACCAAGACACAAAGGTTCGATCTGACATATATTGTATATATATATATATACGTATATAGAGTTATGGCCCATTAACCAGTGAAAATGAAGCAGTGGTTATTGATATGTTCAAGCTGGTTAAAGTGGTGATAAAGTTGGAAAATAACTTGTCTATATCCAATTGGCTATTTATAACAATGGTTGGACTATTCAATTGTCCATAAGTTTTATAATTCATAAATATTCATAAATTGTATATGGACTATTTATGGACCATAACTATTCCATTAACCAGTGGATAACCAGTTATTGTCCATAAGTTATATACAGTATGGACTATTTATAAGCATTGTCTATAAGTTTGCCATGGTCATAAATTTATTATGGTCATATCTCACAACCATACCTAAAAAAAAGTTTTCCATAAATTTATAACCACATACCCTCTGGTAAATTAACATAGACCCGGAAAATCACCAATTTTTAGTGGTTTCACTAATCTTCCAAGCCCGATGACTACCAGGGTCGAACTGTCAATTTACTGGAGGGTAAGTTTTTATTGATTCCAATAGGAGTTTCCAAAAAGTTGTGCATAAATTTATTATGGTCATAAATTTATTATGGTCATATCTCATAACCATACCCCAAAGAAAAGTTTTCCATAAATTTATAACCACATACCCTCTGGTAAATTAACATAGACCCTGAAAATCACCAATTTTTAGTGGTTTCACTGATCTTCCAACCCCGATGACTACCAGGGTCGAACTGTCAATTTACTGGAGGGTAAGTTTTTATTGATTCCAATAGGAGTTTCCAAAAAGTTGTGCATAAATTTATTATGGTCATAAATTTATTATGGTCATATCTCACAACCATACCTTAAAAAAAGTTTTCCATAAATTTATAACCACATACCCTCTGGTAAATTAACATAGACCCGGAAAATCACCAATTTTTAGTGGTTTCACTAATCTTCCAACCCCGATGACTACCAGGGTCGAACTGTTAATTTACTGGAGGGTAAGTGTTCATTGATTCCAATAGGAGTTTCCAAAAAGGTGTCCATAAATTTATGATGGTCATAAATTTATTATGGTCATATCTCATAACCATACCCCAAAGAAAAGTTTTCCATAAATTTATAACCACATACCCTCTGGTAAATTAACATAGACCCTGAAAATCACCAATTTTTAGTGGTTTCACTAATCTTCCAACCCCGATGACTACCAGGGTCGAACTGTTAATTTACTGGAGGGTAAGTGTTCATTGATTCCAATAGGAGTTTCCAAAAAGGTGTCCATAAATTTATTATGGTCATAAATTTATTATGGTCATATCTCATAACCATATCAAAAAAAAAAGTTGTCCATAATTTTTCTAACCACATAAGTTTTCTTCACTAATCGTCCAACCTTTCGGAGTCGGCCAGATCTTCTCGAGTCGTCTCTTCGCTGCTCGAAGCCTCGTGGTCACCTTCGGCGGCAGCGCGCCGCAGCGCGCCCTGCGCCGCGGACGCCAAGGCGCACCGGGGACCACCGGGGAAATCGCCGGGGACGGGTGGAAGTCCGGGTGTTTTTGAGGGCAAAACGGAGGGAAAACTATGGGAATTCGATAATTTTCTTGATTTTCTTGAGGATTCTTGGAGGATTTTGATGATTTTCTTGATGATCCAACTGAGAAAGTCACTTTCATTGCTGAAAGCGGTGATCAGGCGCCAGTGATTATTTGATAATTGCTGATCCAGATATGTACAAACATGTACTTCATAGTGGTTGTATAGATAGATATATATATATATAGCCCAGCTGTACTGTGTTTGGAAGAAAACTATGGTAGGATCAAATTGGCCAACCAACCCCTTCAGGGATTTTGTTCAGGGTCTCACTTGGCGAACTGTAAAATGTGTATCTCTTTGGCCATCCCCAATGATCCTCAAGAAATGTCGCCGTCGTCTCGCTTCGAGCGCCGTTCTTCTTTGAGTCGTGGTTTCGGGAGGGATCGGGGATGCGAATCAGCCAGGGAATAAGATAATCATAGATAATCCATATAGAAACCATGAAAAACCTATATTTCATCCCATTTTTTTAAGTGGGAATAGTCCATAGTCCATTAATTTTCATCGAACTGGGGGTATAACTCGGTATATGCTTGTCATTTTTGGTGGTCAATCCAAGTCCTTTGATGTTCTGCGACTGTTGAAGGGTTTGTACTGTGTTCGTTCATGTTCTTCATGTTGCTGGTTATATGAGCAACATTTTTTTTGTTCTTTGGCGAAAGCCTCTTGTAGTGTATAGCCGCCAAGCGCCCAAAAGAACAACACTCATATCCCATAGGATCCATGTATGCTATATATGGTAACATTTACCATCAATATACCCCCAATGTTAGCATATATACCAGCACCATGGATCCTATGGGTATGTGCATGTGTCTTGTCATGTTTGTGGTTCACATCCTTAAGGCGTTAGTTGCTCGTCTCATTTCGATCAGCAACATCTCCATTGAATTTCAACCCAAGAATCGAAGTTAATCAAAACTCAGAAATAATCCAAATAATCCAAAAATCTGGATAGATACCCTCCGGTAAACTAACATAACTATGGAAAATCACAATTTTTAATGGGAAGATCGACTATAAATGGCCATGTTCAATAGCTATGTTAAATTTGCCAGAGGGTAACTGATGTTTTCCCCAAAGGAACGTCTTGGAATCTCCATTTGTTCAACACATGTTTTCCCCGCGAGGACGACCGCGCTTCCTGGTGATGGAAGCTGGCAACTTACAGGCGCTGGAACCGGTGGAAGCGCCGATGACGGGGCCGGGCCTATGCTGTGAAGCATTCTCTCCGAAATGGCAATGATATTTTTCGTGATCATTTTATATTAGCCTCTGGTAAACTAACATTAGTAACCATTATAGTAACCATTAATTGTTTCATCAATTGGTAATAACATGTAATAACCACTAGGAACCATTGGTAACCATCAATGACAAGCTGGTTGGTGATTTCAAACATGGCTGGATTATTTTCCATCATATATATTAGGGATGTCATCCCAACCCCAAAGAAACGAACTCCATCATGGTTCAAGATGTTTTTTTTGAACCACCCACCAGTATTGAGGTATTAACATTTAATCACTATAAAATCCTATATGCATCATATTATTGATCACTGTTATCACTATCATTATATACAATTACTAGTTTACTGTTTACTATAAACCAGTATGCCATGGTCATGTTATATTATTTTTGGGGCAGCCGATAGCCGGCATCATTCCCTGACCGAGCTGATGGAACTCGCTTTTGTCGATGATCCAACGGAATTGGATAGAGTTGGTGTGGTGGATTCAACGAGTTCGGAGAACCCAAAAAATCATCTGGTTGGTGGTGACTGGAACATTGGCTTAGTATGGGATAATGATGGTTAATAATGGTTAATAATGGTTAATAATGGTTAATGAGATATCTGGTTGGTGGTGACTGGAACCATGGAATTTTATGACTTTCATTATTTTCCATAGACTGGGAATTTCATCATCCCAACTGACGAACTCCATCATTTTTCAGAGGGGTTGAAACAAAACCACCAACCAGTCATGTTCCAATGAGATTTCTTGAGATTGTCCAAAAAGTGGCCACGTACCACATGAAAATGGCCACAGATGTGGGGTCCCAATGGCCACAATTGGAATACTCAGCCTGGCCAAATCTTCAAGACCTACCCTCTGGTAAACTAACATAACTATATGGAAAATCACCATTTTCAATAGCTATGTTAGTTTACCAGAGGGTAACCGATCCTGGGGCGGGGGTAAGGCGGTCCAAGAACTCCCAGAGTTTTTGAACAACGAGGCGGGGTGGAATTCGGTCCACCTGTCAAGTGGAAACTGATCAGCGGAAAATTTGGGTTGCAATGTTTCCCATAGGATCCATGTATGCTATATATGGTAACATGATGTAACATGTACCATCCATATACCCCCAATGTTAGCATATATAGCATACATGGATCCTATGGGTTTAAAGATGTTGAGCTAAATACGGATGGAACGCATTCAGAGAATCTCTGTTTAGATGTTTTTTTTGGCTTCGTTTGTTGCGAAACAACAAACTCAGATGCTGTCTGCAAACGGTTTGACCATGGTTGACCCCAGTGATGCACGTGCCTTTTTTTGTTTGTTTCTTACGAAAAGGGGGAGTGGCAAGTTGATAATTGTACTCAGAGTAATGCTAGGTTTGGACCCACAGTTGTACATGGATTGTTTCACTCCCATAAAAGAGCCATAAAGTAGCCCTATCCATCCCTATCCCATCTCATATTTGGTTGAAACCGGTTTCCCAATCCTATGGCTTATCATATTCCCCAGCACATGCGGTTGCCATGTTTGGGTCATGAGATGGATGAAATCTCCTCTCAATGAAAATAATGAAGGCTGTAGTATCCTGGGTATCCCCTTCTAAAGGGGGATCTCCATTCCCCAGTAAATTAGGTACCCTCTGGTAAACCAACATGGCTATGGAAAATCACCATCTTTAATCGCTAAATCAACTATTTCTATGTGCCATTTTCAATAGCTATGTTGCAAATTTCCAGAGGATATATCCCATTAATATCCCATTGAATCACTATAAAGTCCCATTAAATCATTATAAAAGTGGATTTTCCCATAATATAAAATGGTTATAAGTCCCAACAGTTCGTACCCAATCAACCAGGGGTACTTAACTGGCTCATGGGATGATCAGGATGATCGTATACCAGTTGGACAAGTTTTACAGGAACCATTCCAAACAAACATATCTGGTTGGTAGTTTGGAACATGATTAATGGTGATTAATGATGATTAATGATGATTAATGATGATTAATGATGATTAAAGATGATTAATGATGATTAATGATGATTATATAATGATGATTAATGATGATGATTAATGATGATTATGTAATGATGATTATATAATGATGAGGATCTTCATTACTATACATCTGGTTGGTGGTTTGGAACCATGGAATTTTATGACTTTCCATTCAGTTGGGAATGTCATCGGGCCCCAACTGACGAAGTCCATCATTTTTCAGAGGGGTAGGTATACCATCAACCAGATATTGGTTTGTCCGAAAATTAGGTACCCAGCAAAATAACTTGCCAAGTGATTTAGTTCTATCATCATTTTCCCGTTCCTCGGATGGCCCCAAATTGGGCAGACAATCTTCATTTTCAGACACGCCCAAAACATGGTAGTTGCTGGCCATATATCCCATTATATTTCAAGACGCTAAGGTATTCCCCCTATCAAGGGAAATATCTTGTGTCTTGCAATATGTCTGTATATATATATATATATACACATATCATATCAAAAGAAAATGCATCAGCTGCTGGATTATTGTTGGCATTTTACAACGCCAACCAATATGTTTGGGATCTGCAAAAAAAAACGATGGAACAACCCCACTATGGCGTGTAATGCCGGGTAACTGCTTCTATGCCAAAATGACCGCACTTTTCACGCGAGCTATTACGATATATCCAGAAGTAGCCAAGAAAATGGAGACTGTGGATGACAGCAACCAGGAACGGTGGGGATATTGATATATTTTACCATGGTTCAGGTCACGAAATTATCATTCTGGAGGGAATACTCATGAATAATCACCATTCATACCATTGATTTTTTGACATGGAATTATAATACTAATGATTCATTGATACTATGGAATACCATGATCCATTTCCATTAGCTCGTCATTACTGTAATGTTACCCCCCAGTAAATTAACAGTTCGACCCTGGCAGTCATCGGGGTTGGAAGATTAGTGAAACCACTACAAATTGGTGATTTTCAGGGTCAACGAGTTAATTGACCAGAGGGTATGTGGTTATAAATTTATGGACATTTTTTTTTGGTATGGTTATGAGATATGACCATCATAAATTTATGACCATAGTAAATTTATGAACAATGGTTATAAATAGTCCATATATAACTTATGGACAATAACTGGTTATCCACTGGTTAATTGAATAGTTATGGTCCATAAATAGTCCATATACAATTTATGAATATTTATGAATTATAAAACTTATGGACAATTGAATAGTCCAACTCAACCATTGTTATAAATAGCCAATTGGATATAGACAAGTTATTTTCCAACTTTATCACCTCTTTAACCAGCTTGAACATATCACCACTATTAATTATCCCATTAATAATCCCATGCATACTTTTTACCATGAAAAGTTCCACCCAGCAGGCCTTTTGCTGCCGAAGTCGACACGCCGATCCTCATGGGCCCAGGTGGACTGGGATGACGCGTATTGAAATGTTTGCTTCAAACTATGGATATGGTTATCATTATCATATATATATATATGTAAATATGTATATATTATATACATATTTACATTATATACATTAGATACATTATATACATATATACATTATATATATATACATATATATATATATATATATTATATACATATATTATGATACAATATAATGTTATAATGATATAGAATAATATTCATATATATATACCTACATACATACAGTAATCATCAATCACGGACCTTTTCTTTTACACGATGCTGTTGCTTAGTAGGGAAAGGGGGAACGATCAACAAATTTCACCGGCCGACAAAGCCTCATCAAGTGAAGTTTAATGGTGTTAGGTTTGGATAGCCACAAGGAATGAACCACCTCCTAAATTAGGTCTATGAAACATCAAGGAATGAACCGGATTTCTATTGTTAGGAAATCATGTTTTTGGTGCTGTCGGCCGAATGGTTTATACCATTCACACTTGTTCCGAACTGGCTGAGATCAGGGGAAGACTGGGTTCTACCCCGGAGAATCAGAGCCTTAAAACACCATGGTGTTTTGCCTGGGGCTGAAGATACTAGAACTATTCACTTGGAAATATTTGGGGAACCTAATGGAAATAGTCAGCAATATCTACTGGAAATCCCATTGGCAATATCTAGCCGATTCTCGTAGAATTTGGGGAATGTTGAATTCTCTACGGCCCCATTTTTTTTCCCACGGAAAATTGGAATATCGCCAATGAGCGTAACTAGAATTGAACATTCCCCCTGAAATAAGAAATCGCTTACCCTCTGGTAATTTGCTACATAGCTATGGAAAATGGCCCATAGAAATAGTTGATTTACCTCTTAAAAATGGTGGATTTTTCCATCGTTTTTTATATGTTTACCCGAGAGTAACTCAAATTTTGGGGACCCCCAAGTAGGAAAATCCAACAAATTGAGGTGCTGCCCAAAAATGTTTCGTCATTTTTTGTTGATTTTTACCCCCCCATTAACTCTAGATATATGTGCCATAAACCGTCAAATATACTTAACCTAGTTATGTTTACCAACTTTGCTAACTATGGTTTATGATTCTCTCATAATTCAATATTACTTTTACTGTTTGAATCCCGTAGATTCTCGTCACTGAAACCCATCAGTGCGTTGGTTTTCCTCAAACTTCTATGACTATCCCCATCATCAACCATTGACCGTAGTTAACTTAGTTATAAACCATCATTAACCTTAGTGAACTTAGTTATAAAGTATTATAGAGTTATAAATTATAAAAACATGTTATAAACCATCATGAAACAATAGTTAATCTACTTCTAAACCCATGACGTTCAACGTATTTCCCCCTGTTATCATTTCCCAAACGTGCGCCAGGCCCGAGACGCAGCTTCCAGCGTTGCACTCAACGGCAACGTCGGGCGCTGTGGAGCTCCAGCAGGGCCAGAGGTTGGCGGCGGCGAGTCGCTTGGAACGAATGGAAAGTATACCACCAACAGCCACTACCCATAGGATCCATGGTGCTGCTATATATGGTAACATTTACCATCAATATACCCCAGTCATGTTAGCATATATATACCAGCACCATGGATCCTATGGGTACCACCAACAGCCACTTTTTAAGGGCCGTATGAAAATGAATAGACCAGCTATATCCCAAACATTAGGCCGGGACATACGTTTTTTTAAAGTGACTCGTGATATCTTGTGATTGTAGATCTACAGATGGCGCTTGGGCATCCTTGGGCCCTTTTTTTGTTTACACCGCGTTTCCATCAGTCCCATCCAAGAGAATTGGCGCTAAGATTTCGCCACCAGTTTTGTGGTTTGATTGGATATATATATATATATACATAGATATTTTATGTATATGTATAGCATCTTGTTGCATTTAATAACATGTTATGGCTATTTATTTTCGGATTGATCGGATCGATTGGATTGGACATTAATGTATATATATATATGTATGTTATTAATGTAATATATGCTTTATATACTATATATATGTTTTATACAACTTATATTATATATATAATGTTTCACTTACATCACCTGTTCCTAGCTCTGGATTCCCAAGGCCCCAGTTGGTTGCTGGTCTTATGCTTGGACCAGTTCTTCCAGCAACTCGGAAGCGTTCCGCGCCCTTGGCGGCGCATTGTTTCCTCATGGGTCACTGATTCAACTGATGGAGATGGATGGGAAAATCATGGGAAAATGAATCGCTTTGCTAAACGTACCCTTTGGTAAACGTTTACATAACTATGTGAAGATCCACCATTTTTAATGGGAAAATCCACTATTAATGGTCATTTTTGATAGCTATGTTAAATTACCAGAGGGTAATCAGTGCAACATTAAAAAAAAAAACACACTACAAAAAATCGCGTCGGTTGCAAGAAAAATCTCCATTCTCAACGAACCATGTCGCCATACCTATACGTGAGCCAGGATCCTTCTGGACTGGTGGGTCATTTCTTTGGCCTTGACATCGTTGACACCGTTGACGCCGTTGACGCTGCATCTGACCGGAGCATTTTTCGTGGCCGCAGTGGCAGCTGGGCTGGAGGAAAGCCTGTCGGGTAGGGTCGATTTTTTACAGCCAAAATGTGGGATCCTGGTCATGTTCGTATAGGCCACCACTTATGGGAGCATGAGCAAAGGGTTGTAAAGTTCTTCAACAACGATAATGTCAACCCCGGATTTTGCTAAACCGTTTATGAAAATTAGGGGGTACTCCTCCAATAGTCATTTCATCTGATACTTTTTTATGGTACCCTCCCAATTCAACAGCCGTTTGGGGTTTATTAATCCGGGGTTGACATTAGATAGCAGCTATGCCCAACGTTCAGGATCATTCCTGTCTTGGGTGACAGAGAAACTCTAGGGAATGTGGCCAACACTCAGTGGTTTATCAAAGTTACATCGATGGTTAAACCGCTGAAAACGAAGAATCTGTTTTTGCAGTTTTTTGTGCACTCTGAAAGACTCCGAAACTCTGAACATGTCGAACTTGGGAACTTGGAAAATATGTCAACATATCGCTTTATCATGCTGTATTCTTATTGATATACAGAGATATAAATGAAAATGTTGGTCGAAATTTGGATTTTCTTGAAACATGGAAGTGACATACCTTACATCCTTACGTACGTTCAGTACCCCACCCGGCTGATTTCTCACACATTCAAATCAGACTCCCCTTGATATGTTTATTTGTGGGAGTGTTACCCCATATATCTCTATTTCTTGGATTGCCACCTCGCATGTGCATATATATATATATATATAAATACATATACAATGTGTTTATGGCTCAGTTTCACATCTCAGCACTTTGTTGGTTTATCAACCCTTCTAAGAAATTCGATACATCCAGACACCCAATAGTTAGCCGAGTGAAATAACCCAACCTAGCATAGACAGCACTGCTTGTAATATCCCATTACATTCCACTATATCTATATCCCCATAAACATGGTGTGTTATATCCCAATGAAATATGAGGTGTGTCAGTATGTCATTGATACATCAATTCTAAAAAGCCCAATTGTCTTTGACTAATTATCAGCTACTGTATCCCATTTGCAGGTTTCTGACATGGATCTAGAAAACCATGGGTTTCAATACTACAATGGTCTAATGACTTGGATGATTTGTACCCCAAATAACTTTGGAAACCTCCATGACTGTTGCGAGTGAAATGATCATTTTTCCATTTTTGGTGCACATCAATGTTCTCAATCCACATTTTCCATTTCTTGAGAAATCAATACAACATTGTGAAACTGTTTTTTTCCCCATGCATTCCATGGGGGTTCACCCCATGAATTCCATATATTTGTTGCATCCCCATTTTTTTCTCATATTTTTCTCTAAATCCATCCAGGTGCACCTTTCCCTCAAGCTTCTGGTGGTTCATTTGGGCGCCCGTTCCTACACGGAAGCCGCCGCCAAAATGGCGTTCGATATCGACACGACGACGGTTCCTACGGTCACGGCGCAAGCCGAACGAGAGATGGACCTGCAGTTGCCAGGTGTGGTGACAGTTGCCATGGTGGTTTTTATTGGCAAAAACTGGGAAGTGAACGGGCATGAAATAGGATATGGCTACATAATGCTTACATAATTTACATATGTATAGAGATAAATGTATTGCATTTGATAAATATAGCTAACAATATAGATTTAACCTGCAAAGATGCTGTTTAAGAAGCACAAATCTGGTGGTCTGAATGGCAATCAAACAGTAAATGGCTATAAGTTATAAGTGGCGGTTTACCAGCAAGAAATGAGCATCTACTGCCAATCTATGGCGATGTTGAGTGGAAATCAACATGCAGCCGTGAATGGCAGATGGTGATTGCACCAGCAATGGGACCAGAACTGGATGTGAGCAACTGAACTGTGATTTACGAGGTATGTTTTTTTTTTGATAGGAAAAATGATGATAAAGTCATGCAGCCGATAATTTTACATCGGTGCTGCCTTTAGCACCTTGGCAGGTCATGGGGGTGGATTGGGAGACCCGGCGCCAATGGAATGATGAAACTGGGGCAAGCCTCTGGTAAACGTTTACAGTTTGCGAACCGGAAAGTCACCACCCATGTTTAAGCTCGGTAAATCTTAACCAGTTACAGTTGGCCATGTTCAATAGCAAACTGTAAGAAATGACCAGAGGGTAGGTCCCATTCATATCCCATTGAATCACTCTTTTAAGTTTCATCATTAAACCATGATAAATCCCACAAAAAATCCCACAAAGAATCCCATTGAATCCCACAAAAAATCCCATTGAATCCCACAAAAAATCCCATTGAATCAGTCAGAGTTCGTAACCCATCACCCACGGCTGAACAGCGCAGGACAGCTATGGGGACTGTTGGCCGGGTCATGCACCTTGGACGCCTTGGGAAAACCCCGGAGGGGCGCTATCCATGCCGTGAGTTGATACCCTCTGGTTAGATGGTATTCAATGGGATTTATAAGGATTTAATGGGACTTTATAGTGATTCAATGGGATATTAATGGGAGATACCCTCTGGTTATGTCAAAGTAGCTATGGAAAATGGCCATAGAAATAGTGGATTTTCCCATGAAAAATGGTGGATCGTTCCATAGTTTTTTTGTAAACGTTTACCAGAGGGTCATGTTTTTGTTTGGGACATTGTTGACATGTACCCTCTGGTTATGTCAAAATAGCTATGGAAAGATCCACCATGCTATTAATGGGTAAATCCACTATTTCAATGGCAATGTTCAATAGCTATGTTAGTTTACCAGAGGGTAAATGATGTTGCGTGGGGGGATGGGGTGTGTTGCTAGTTTGATCTAGTATAATATCCTTTCAGAAAAACAGTGCTTCAATCTGTTATAAATGGATACAAATGTGGATCCGGACGTAACATTACTGCCCAGCTAAAAGAACTAATCAGTAGGGCATCCAAGATTGGCCATAAGAAATGGGGTTGGGTCGGGTCTGAATTTTAGACCCATTCCCAGGATCAGTCCCTACGACCATCACCCATGAGAGTGGGATATAGTGACAAAATCATGGCTATATTGCCCCATCTAGGTACTTGGGTCTCTGGTTGGTGCTTTGGAACCTTTTATATTTTTCCATATATTGGGAAGTTCACAACCTCAACTGACGAACTCATATTTATCAGAGGGGTAGGTATAACACCAACCAGGTCTACTGTAGTTGGTTGTTTACCAGTTGTTACAACCCTGGAATCCTGCGGCGCCTTGTCATAGCTTGACCTTGTTTACCTCGAAAATTCCCGAAACAGGATGCAGAAAAACTGGTTTTTCATGCAACCCCAAGAAAGATCTAAAAGCATTTCCAAAGATTAGGTGTCCCGGTGTCCCCATGTTTTTTTTCAGCTTTCCAACTTTTCGAAAAATATTTGTGGGCATTGCGTTCAAAAAGCATTGAAGTTACGTCCTCCATCACCTCCTAACTGGCGATTCGGTGAAATGGAGCATGCCCAAACAAGCCATCGTATTTTACGAGGTGTAATGATGATGAAACCGCAGAAATTTAGGTCGGTTTTCCCAACATAACAAAAACATGGAGTACTATCATAGTACTATCATAGTACTATCATAGTACTATCATAGTACTTAAGTGTTAGCTGGAAATTTTCTGTTCTCCCCCCCCCAAAAAAAAAGCGGCATTTTTCCCCCATGCGTTACCACTGACCTTGGCCTCGAGGTGCTTTTTTCGGCCTACTGGGTCTCAGTCAGCTGCAACTGTCGCAGAGTTTAGCGTCGCCCTGGCAGCTGAGTTTGGTGCCCATCTATGTTTTGGCACTGAAGGCAGGATGGTGATGATTTGATATGATTTGATATGATTTGATATGATTTGTATCGTGTATTTTTGGAGGTTCCGAACTTCGAAGCTGTTTTGTTTAATATGTGTCTTTCATAAATGATCTTAAATGTGTTTTTTCTGCTTGGTCCCATGTGTTTTCGCCAAATCCTCCATGAAATCCAGCAAGGCCCTGGCAGCCGGTGGTGGATCTGGTAGATCTGCGCCGTTGCCGCCGTTGCTGGACACGCTGCGAAGGGAGCTGCAGATGGGCGTGGCCACGCAGGCGAGGCAATGACTGCCATGACTCGTAGTGGGCTGAGTTCACCCAGGGGAGAAACTACTGAATGGGGCCTTAGTGAACTCGGGTTCACCACTAAAATGGTGCAGGATCCCCATGGATCCCCCAGATTGCCCTTTTTGAAGCGAGAAAATGATGAACGATCACAGAATAGGGGGTAGCCTATTCTATGACAAACCCAATTAATATCCTTTGGCAATTTAAGATGGTTTGCTGGAAAGTGAACTCCATGGATTTTTCCAGTGTTTGATGTATTTTTGGTCTGCTGGACTTCCCAACGATGTCTGATTGCCGGAGGATTTTTGTTGGTGGTTAGGAGGTAGCTAAGGAGCTATGGGTATCTGTATCCGGGGATCCATATCCACGCTACTAAAAGTTTCCCAATTACGGCAATCACGTGATAGGTTAGTCAATGACTGGTTTATAACTGAAATGTCCAATCTGCACAGAACTTTCGATGTGCCATACAGAACTAGTAAAGAGTTGGATTTATCCGTTCAAAAAGGGTCAAAACACCTGGTTAGGTTGGTTTATTCTTGAATGGACATGAGCTGTTTGATATGTTTAAGCAAAGCTGATCTAAGTATGATACATTATGGATTTATGAGTGGTTGATGTTGGTTGATGATTGAATCAGGGCTTATCCTATCCAATATATCAGGGGTTCTCATTGCAATCATCAAATATTCATAGGATACTATCAATAGTGATATCCATAGATAGCCCCTGATATATTGGAAAAATAGCCTGATATCCAATACCCTCTGGTAAACTAACATAACTATGGAAAATCACCATTTTTAATGGGAAAACTCACTATAAATTGCCATTTTTGATAGCTATTTTGACATAACCAGAGGGTATCCATTGATAGTCACTTATGCAATGATCATCCATGAGCTGGGCATTCCAGCCTTGGTTCATCCTGGATGCCTGGTTCATCCTGGGTCCTTGGATGCCATCGACACGATTATTCTCAATGGCCTTGGGTTTTTTGACACCGGGGATATTCAACTTTCGAAGTTGGTCAATCTTGTCAAAGGCTTGCTTCCAATAGAGCATGCGGTAGAATGTTATGTAATGTAATGAAGCAGCATATAGTATAATATAAGAGTATGAATTTTAATGCAATGTAACCCTGGGTAATGTAAGATTGCACAATGAACTGGCAGACCGCTATTCGCGGTGGATGCTCAACTCAATCGTTGCTCGGATTGGGGGGCGAGATCCACCGTTAAAACAGGATCGACGACGGTGAATCGTGCCAGTCCTCCCTGCACGTCAAAGTTGACACCAGCCAATCCAGAAGAAGCTTACCCATAGGATCCATGTATGCTATATATGGTAACATTTACCATTAATATACCCCAAATGTTAGCATGTATACCATACATGGATCCTATGGCTTATGCAGTGTATTGCATGTCACGCGGAGCTCAAGGCCAAGGAATCCAGTTGACTAACAGGAGTGCGATGCACATGATGCACATGGCACCTTGCTGCAGGTACTGTCTGACTGGAACTTTGTCCGGAGTAGGAACTAATATGGGGATGGGTCAAAACCCTGGTACCTAGTGAACCCCAAGTCATAGCTGGTAAATGGATGTTCATCCCACTAAAAATGTATCTATAGGTATTGACCCATACCCATATGAACTTGTTATTTTTGCATTTCGGCACTGAAAATTAGAATTGCATAGCACCGAACATGGGATCGAATTTCGAAGGACATCATACGAACCAGCAATGATGACTGTAATCATCACTGGTAATTCATGGATAGCTAGATTGGGGAGCGGGGTAGTGAATGGGAAAAGCGTGGCTCCAAAAGGCTACACTGTGTTGACCACACTATTTTACTACTAGCCACTGAGGACAATTATGTTATGGCAATACCAAGAAGATAGATGTGCAAATTCCTGCCGCTGGCTATGGGCTTTGCTATCTATTTGAGGGCTGCTTTTTCTGTTGGGAAAGAGTATGTCTTGTTGAAAAACTTTGACACGTTGGCTGCCGTGGATGTCAGTGCGTCCAAGCGTCCGTTTTGTTTTGGGGATCCCCTGATTGGAGAAGCATCCGATGGTATCCTTTGCAGATTCTGCTCACAGATCCATGGCGCACTTGTCCACAATCTACAATCCCCTTCAAAGCAACCTTGGCGAATAGCTGGTACATCTACGCCTCTACGCTGGGATTATCTGAAAATTTAGGTGAATGATTATCGCACAAGAGTGGTAACTTAAGTTGGTTTTCATGTACTTTCCCTCTTTATTTCCACACTTTCTCCAACAGGAAGGGGCACTCCAGTTGGCTTATGATGTCCATCCAACTAGTTCGATATATCCACCAAATCTACATATATAATCAAATATATATATATATATATATATATATACTATAGTGTGTGTATATATATATATATACTGGTTGGTGGTTTGGAACAGGAATTTTTATGACTTTCCATTCAGTTGGGAATGTCATAATCCCATCTGACGAACTCATATTTTTGAGAGGGGTAGGTATACCAGGGGTAGGTATACCACCAACCAGTATATATTCTATAAAATTATACATACTATAATATTATATATAATTCCAATCGTTAGCCTGGTAAAACAAACCACCATACAGCCATTGAACTTGGGGGACCCTTCCCGGACTGCTCAGGAACCAGGTTTTCAAGCGTACGAGGACGTGGCCGACGTGGCCGAGGGATGAATTTCCCAAGAGGTTCTTCCAAATTTTAGGGATTATCATGGGATTCAATGGGGTTTATCATGGTTTAATGAGACTTAAAATAGTGATTCAATGGGATATGAATGGGACCTACTCTCTGGTAATTTAACAGTTTGCTATTGAAAATTGTCATGAGAATACTGTATATAGTTGATCTACATTTATATATTGTTTTTTGAAGTACCCTCTGGTGAACTAACATGGCTATGGAAAATGGTGATTAAATGGCCCAGTTATAGTTGCTTTATCCATTAAAAATTGTGATTTTTCAGTTCGCAAACTGCTGGTTTACCAGAGGCTATACTGATCCGGGATGCCCCTAGCAGGTACTGAAGGTTGCAGGATCCTACAGGTGGCCAGCAGCACAGGACAGATTGCTTGCTTCACTGGCGGACTCGCAAAGGCGAAGGCGATATGGGCGGTGGTTGAAAAAAATTGGTCACGTTGATTCATGCTGCAACCCAACAAATCGGGGGGAAAAATACGTGATTTATGGTTGTAGTAGGATTTACTGATTTCTCTTCCGAGGGTTGCCATAATACATACACATGTATACATATAATATATATATATATATATGTACATATTATAATGCATTATATCATAATACTGGCTATGCCAGAAATCATGGCTAAACTAGCGTCGGTCACAACAAAAGGATATATGTTCACACCAAACCCGAGCATTTTCAGTGTCCGTTAAGTATGCATGGAAAAAAATAGAGACTTAGTTGACAAATTTTCTATGGTTCCTAGTAAGAATTTCACATGATATGTTCATATATTTTCTGGGTCCTTTCTTTTCTAGTCATATAAAATGTCTTGGGGTGTGGCTTGCAGTACCCCATGGTGGGTAGACGCACAGCCAGGCCACACGTGTTGCTGCATTTGGGGTTTTGCCTCGCTGCAGCGTGGGCCGTGCAAGGGGCCAGGGCGGCCGATGTCGAAAAATTTCTGGGTCTCAAAATGGGGAATTCGACCAGCAAAATCTTGAGAATGGAAATCATGGGATATACATATATACATATATTAATTATTATATATATACACAATATATGTGTATAATATATATATATATATATGTGTATAATATATATATATATATATACACATACATATAACTGATATATATATATAGCCATGATACGCTTGGGATAGAATTGGATATGATTATATAGAACGGATATAGCCAATACTACTGGGGATATGTTGTGGGATAAAAAGTGGCAGATTTCAAGCGACTGAATTGGTGATTTCCAACACATCACCGACCATGTTATGGGATTGTAATGGGATATATGTACCCTCTGGTAAACAAACATAGCTATTGAAAATGGCCATAGAAATAGTGGATTTACCCATGAAAAATGGTGGATCTTTCCATAGTTTTTTGGTCATGTTTACCAGAGGGTAACCAACAATAACCCATGATTCACCACTACTAACCATCACTATTACCATCTGGTTATTTAACATAGCCATGGAAAATGTCTCATTTATAGATGGTTTACCTATTAAACATGGTGATTTTCCATGGCTATGTTAAATAGCCAGATGGTAATCATTAACCACTATTAATTCTGGGTGTGTCTGAACGTTGGGATGCCCGCCTGTCAATCACTATTTGATTGGCTATGAGATCTTGCGGCACCCAATGTGAAGAAAACGCCGCTGGGACGGATAGATCTTGAGTTGCCAATAGGTTTACCCTCTGGTAAACTGTTACATAGCTATGAAAGATCACCATCTTTAATGGGTAAATCAACTATAAATGGCCATGTTCAATAGCTATGTTAAATTACCAGAGGGTATATTTGCAATTCTCGTAGTTCAAGAGCCAAGAGACTGTAACATGGCTTGCAACCTGGGTCCGAACCAACTTCAACCACACTCCAAACATCACCCGAAGCTCCTGCAGCCTGGACCGCGGACGTGTTGTTAGGTACACTGTGACCGCGTTCCTCCTGCTGAGCAATGGCGCAACGAGCAAAGAGGTCAACATGATATTTGTGGGTTGGGAGCCTGACAAAAATAGACCCATACCCAGGTTGAAGCTCCGGAGGTCAAAGCTGGCATTTTCCACGGCCAAGTTCTGTCATCTAAGATCGGATATTCTGAAGCAGACGTGGGCTGTTGAAAATTGTTGGACGTTGTTTGCTCGGTTATCTTCGAGTAAGCTAAAGACAAAACCACATGTTCAGACATGTTGAGGCAATCAGGTCCGGTGTCCAAAATAAGGTATGTGCCTTTCTGAGATTGGGG